AACATAGCAATATATTGTATACTATAAAATTATAATTTAAAGTTCTTCTGGTTGGCTCAGAGCTGACGTTCTGTCTCCCTGTTTCTCTGTCTTCCTGTCTCTTTTGTTTTCCTGTGCGACTCCAGCTATTCACAGGCAGATGGTCTAGTCAAGATGTCCAACGCCTGGACCTTCATCTTTGATAGTTTTATTTTTGAAATTTGAACCAAAAAGTAGGTTCAGATATAACTGGTCATCTGAATTGGACCAGAGGTAACCCATGAAAGTACCAGGGCAGCAAGTGAGAAGATAAATTTTCAAGTTTTCTATTATATCAAATTCAGTGTTAAAATTGCCCAGCAATAGCAAATCAGGGGTACTTCATCACTGTTGCTGAAAAGTGTTGGTGAATACCCTTTAGAAAATCTTTTGTCTGTGGTTGTCTGTAGATGAGTATAAAAGTCATGTTTGCTTTTTTCTGTTTTCTATAGTTACAATCAAACAACTCCAGTCCTACCTGAGGTACCTTTTTGTGATTTGATATTTAATGCAATATTTAATGTAAGATTTGGTATTTATCTTCATTCAGAAGGTGAATAAATGAGTATGGAGCTCTGTAAATTCTTTCATGACCAACGAGTACCTTGTAGCTTACTGCTTCTGGGCTGCACTTTGGCTAGACAGAATTCTGGTTTAGTGAAATTTGCTTTGAATTATGTCACTATAGTTCTACCCCTGTGTAAAATCTTAAGAGATGTGTTGTTTCAATACAAAAGAGAGTTTATAGCTGCTTTGTCATGATTAATTACTGCACTGTCCCCCTGTTTTTAGCCAGACCTCCCAGTGTGGAGCAGCACATAGGACCCCTTAGGTCACCTGGCCTGTTAGGTCACCTGGCAGAACAGGGGTTGTCGCAGTAGGCTGCAACATACTTTCTCCGTGTGTGTGGCCCTAGTACCTGCACTGGGGACTGTGGCCTCAGTGTAGCATTCAAGGGTTGGGCCACCCAGCTGTGCATAGGCCATAGGGTCATGACGTGGAAAGGGACATGGCACTGTATTGCAGAGATGCATTTTGAAGCAGCTATGCTGTGTGATTCTTATATCATGTGAGGACCAGGTTTGTAGGATATCTGTACTGATTTGTGTGTGTGTGTGTGTCACATTTCTTAGACATAGTTAAAGATCTCTTTAGTCTTGTCCTTTATTTTCTGCTTTTACTCCATTTCTCTATTTGGTTACCATACTATGTTCTGTGTGGGGGCAGCAATTAATGCACAGCATGACAGGGCACAACAAAATTACGTTGTCTCTAAGCTGTTACGCAGCTGGCAGTTTTCTTGCTGTGCCTTTGCTTGTGTGTGTGGGGGGGTTGGTGTATGCGTGCATGTGTATTTTCCTTCCTTTTTCTTTTTAACACCACCAGAATGAAATAATTTTGCAAGAACTGAATTTATTCAAAGCTGTGGGATATTGCCTTGCCTTGAGAGTTAGGTTTCCTAACTCCATGCAGCAGGTGGCATTACAGAACAAGTGAATATTTTTTTCCTTTCCCAAGGAAAAATTGTTTGGCTAGAACCTCACCTCACCATTCTGCAGAGAAATTAATTTCAAAAGTCTTTAATATAGGGATAGTAAGTGTAAGAGACAATATTATATGGAACAAACTCTCTTTCTTAAAGAATGTCCAGCTTTAGGGCTTTTCATCGTTGTATCCCAAAGAGTAGATATTGATGTTTAATAAACAAAGTAGCAAAAACTTTTTTTATTTTAGAATGAATGTTAGTAGTCATGTAACACATGTTACAAAAGGGACCAAATGTACTTGAAAAATCTCTGCAAGAATTTTTCATCAGGGACCAGCAAGAGTGGGGCAGCTCCATGAGGGAAGACAAGCCAGGAGCCAATGGTGACCACCACACAGGCAGGGGCAGGGACTTCACTGACCAGGGCACAGTCCCACAGTGCCTGAGCAGGGCAGGTTGGTGACGGCTTGTTCCATCAGCTGTCCAGTGGCCATCAGACAAGGTGAAATAATAAGCTGGGTCCGAGGTCCATCTAGGAACTTCAGTCAGAAACAGCAGGAGGCAGGGCTGGAGGTAAGACTACGGATAGTTGTGGGGTCCTCCAGGAAGTTCAGTCAGCAAGTCAGCATAACAGGAGATAGGGCTGTGCCCAGCTCTGCATACAACATAGCTCAGGCAAAGACTGAAGACTCAGACCTGCCTGAGCTGAAATGGAGCTCCTGGACTGGAGGACAGAGAGTGTGGGTGGAAGCCCCAGGTAAGGCTGGTCAGGGCAATTAAGGCCTATTGGTACATCCAGGGCCCTGATATTCCTCATAGGAGAGGGAGAACATTAGTTAAAGGACTTGCTGCCACACCAGTGAAGTCAAGGAACATTCTTCATTTCTTTTTAAAGACAGTAGAATTGAGTCTTTCATGTTTTAAATTTGGTACCTGTCTATAGAATTACTTTAATCTTTGCTTCATTATGGCATTGTGGTATTTGTATATATTCCATTTGCTTTTAAATTTTGTAATTAAGTCCATGTGACTTTTTATTCTCTTCAAATTCTTTTAGAGCATGTTTTTCCTTATCACAGAAATTAGTTAGAAGCAGTTTAGGAAAAAGATTACTCTACATATGGAATTGAACTGAATTTCATGGGAGATCTGCAGTATTGCCCTAGCTGAATCAAATCTTGAGCCAATTTTGGCTCTACTACCACTGGTTTTTGTCTGATGTAACTCCACTAATTTTGTTGAAGAGTTCTTCCAAAAATGGGTAAAAAAGACCAATCAATACAACAATACTAAAAGAAGTGATTAATGGACATGAAAAAAGTATAAAAATGAACGTCAGAATTATTTTCCTATTTTTTTCTTTTTTTTGCTATCTGCAAAAACTGACAAGTATTGATTTGGCTACAATAGCTGATCACATAGAAGATGGGACAGAGTAGAAGTGGGGCAGAGAAGAAGCATAAAAGGGGCCTCAAGGGGATTCGGAGTAAGATGAGGGTTCCTAGAGGAACGTCTTAAAGAGCAAGAGAAGATCAGACAAAGAACAGTAGAGGGAAGGGAAGAAGGATAATATGAGCAGAACAGGCCAGAGCAAAGACAAGAGAATAGAAAACATGAAAGGAAAACAATACAAAGGAGAGAGAAAAAGTATGTATTAATAGTATTATTATTGATTTTTGAGTACTTTCTCTTTCATTAGCTTAAGTGTCTCAAGGAATTAACATTACACATAAACCACCCCTTGAATTATTTTACCAATGCTATAGGCATTGCCATATGAAGTATGGGGATTTGGGGGAGCTCTGGGCATGATTGTTCAACATTGCAAATGCACAAATGCCTTGGACATGTGCTTTATTTCTCCACTTAACACTGCCTTCAAACGGCTTAAGCCAAACTGAGCTTCACCAGCCCAGTGGAATGAATTAAGCACCTCTGAACATTTGTTTATAGCACCAGTTAAAGTACTGATCCAGGTCCTTGCTGGACCCAGACAATAGGAAATACTAGTCCGGTGTGGGCTTTGGGAAGGGAGGAGATGGCATCCATGAAGTTCCTGCGTAGACGTGCTAGCCTTGTCTCTTGTGAAATGGACGTGGAATAGCAGAGGATTACGTAGCTTTCCCATTACTGCTCTGGAAAGCTGCCACTGTAGACTCTCCTATTTCCATCCTGCTAACATGATACAGAAGAAGGAGTACTTAACTGTCCCAAAAGACATTCATTTCATGATGTTTATGGATACTAATGTCTGTCTAGAACTCCATGGCCTGTTCCAAATAATGGTTGTAAGTGTGACATTAGATTCCTCTCTCTTGAACAGCAGGATGCTATTCTCCAAAAATTTTTGACCTATGAGTTAATTGTTATAAAATGCTACAATGCTGCTGTCACAAATGTAGTGATTTCTGAACTTGATTCTGTGCTTTTCATTTAGGTAGGTGTCTCTCAAGCTCATCTTTGACAATTTCACCCCCTGCATAGATGAATTTCCATGCTATATGCATGTTTATGCTTCTAGGTGCTACATACAATATTATTGAACACTTTCTGCCTTATAGTTGCTGTAAAAGTGTAGGATTCTTTGCAAAGAAGTTTGTATATCTTTCTTCCAAGGGGTAATTCTTTTTCTGGGTGTCTTTAATGCACAGCCCAATTTATTTTTAGTTCTTACTTCTCATTTTACTCTGTGTTCATACTCTCTGTTCTTCTCATGTTACATTAAGTTATATAGAACATGCTACATTTTATATATAAATTATTCTTTTTTGATCTGATTTTTTAACAAAATATTTTTCTTTTTGCTTTTTTAGGTTTAGCCCAGTCAGGTGCCTGGGGTTGCTTTGATGAATTTAACCGCATTGAACTTCCAGTTTTATCAGTAGCTGCTCAGCAGATATATATTGTACTTCAGTGTAAGAAAAATAAGAAACCTCAGTTCGTTTTCACTGATGGTGATGTTGTTGACATGGACAGAGAATTTGGTATATTTCTGACTATGGTATGTGTGTGAATATGAATATGAATGGCATCATTGTGAAAAATCTTTCCTATTTCATTCCCATTGAAATTTCCCTGTTGAAATCATTGGAACTGTCTGTTAGAAAATAGTGAATACAGTTTGACAATAATTTGGTCAAATAGTAATGTTGATATTTTCTCTTCCCCATATTTTTAACTGGAACTTAGGACTTGAAGTATGCAATTATCATTAACTACATATTTTAAGGGCTTTTTAATTGAATATTTGACAGATTGAGACTAAACCCAACCATCTCATATCTTTAGTCAAAGTCTGTCAAAACAAAATAGAAGTAATTGACCACTGCAAGAACTACTGTAGTTGGTCTGGTCAGTGTTTTACCACCTGTGAAGAACTTTTGACCACAATCCTTCTGTGTGACCCTCACTCTGGTTCACTAGCCTCCTGAAGATGTATCTTTGGTGCCTGTGGACTGCTTCAAGCAGCGCAGGAGGCAAAGAAGCAGGAAAGCATAATAATACCTTAAAAGCCTCTTTGTATCTCCCCCTCCTTAACTGTAGGCTACATACCCACAACTCAGAATGGAGGCATTTGTCTTTATTTCAAGTTTTCCTACCTTTGAAAAGGTGTTAATGTTATCACTTTAATTTGAAAACGAGGACAAATTAGTGGCATACAAAGGCCTGTGGGAAAGCAGTTTGGAAACAGCTGGAAGAGTTTAAGATAGCCAGTGACTACTGTTCTTACAGCTGAGCCATGCAGTAGTCACATGAATGACTTGGACATCTTCAGTGAAAGGTCAGATCCGTTAGTTTAAATTATTTCAGTAATGGCTTGCACTGCTTGACTGACTTTGCACTGAAATGGTCTGGGGATGCTCACAACGGACAGTAACCTCCAGCACTGGAACACTATCAAGACCCTGAGGAACTAACCATTTAAAACAGCTCCAACAAGATCTGTAAGTGGTTGTCTGTCTATGTCTGTGTGTCTTGGGCATTGCCAAATAACATGTGTGATACATACTTCACAAACTGCAGTATTTAGGCAACTCTGTAGTGATGTGTAATTGCGACATGCTCATGTTACCCTTGTCATCTGGCATGTGCTTCTGTGTTTGCCAAATAATTATCAGAAAAGATAAACCTTCCTATCCCGCTGTCATTATATAATATTTTATTTTATATTTTGCATTTTTCAGAATCCTGGCTATGCAGGACGACAGGAACTTCCAGAAAATCTGAAGATTCAGTTTCGCACAGTTGCTATGATGGTGCCTGACCGTAGCATTATTATGCGAGTCAAGCTGGCAAGTGCTGGTTTCCGAGACAACCAAGTCCTTAGTCGAAAATTCTATACACTCTATAAACTCTGTGAAGAGCAGTTATCTAAACAGGTAAAATAAATATTTGTCCAACTGTAAGCTGTCACTGGAAGGGAATGTAGAGAATATACTTTCCTAGAATATATAATTATTTTGACACTCATGAACCTATTAATTTTTTAGGGTTTTCAGTTTCAAGTTCTAGAAACAGAGTCTGAAATCATCAAGTTGTTTTTATTTTTCAAACTAATTTGTGTAGTAAAGGAAGTTTGATTTGTGATTTTTAAACAGAGTGCAGTTATTGGAGAAGTTATGAGGAGTGGTGTATAGTGCTCTGCTGAACTTTGTAGAGGACACATTTTTCAGTCTCCTTACTTATGAAGACTAGACCGATTGGAGAGACAGTGTAAGAATTGTAAATAAGTGAAGAGTGCCTAGAAGGCTCTGTTTTGTTGAGTGCTACCAAAAAAGTGCTATTCTGTTTGATATGGGCTATTTAAATAGAAACAAAAAATAAAGCTGCTTTTAAGAACAGAATTAGTTGTTGCCTTTTGAATGCCCTGTGGTGGCTGTCCACTAGAGGGTCTCAAAGAGAGATCATATGAATGGTAGGTAAGTTGCAGCTCAAATGAGGAGCCTGCTTTGGTTGGATCCTAATGAACCTGGGCATATTGACTACATTCTCCATTATGTTATTTCAGTTCTATACCACATATTTATTAGTGACTCTGTTGACTTCCATGTAGAAATGTTGGACTACGCCAGAATAAGATAATGGTGCATCATATTGCCATTATTATTTCAGAGTTAAAACAAAAAAGTACAGATTTGGATTTTCTCTTCCTTTCTCCATACCTCTGTAATTTCATTCTCAATATATATGACCAAACTGGATTCCCGTTTTCGTTTCTCCCAGGTTTCTTTTTCTGGGAGAGTTTTACTCACCAGGTTTATGTTGTAGACTGGCTTCTGAAGGGTCATATTTGCTACTGGCTTCCCTGTAATATTGCCCAGAGTGTCTCCATTAGCCTTCAAATTAGTTTTTAGGCAATCTGATTCACCCTGTATTGATCTAGCATCACTAGTGTTAGTCCATTTGTTGCTGTCCAACCTATTCTCTCAGTCCTGTCTTCAGCCTGTATTTTATACTTACCAGGCTTATAGGCTGCATTTGTCAGGGGATCATTTTCCAAGAGCTCTCTCTATAAGTGGAATTTGTAGACATTGTTTAGGAAAATTTGTGTATGCACAGTTTCAGCAGTTAGCAACATAGATTGTCTCCAGAGTATGGATCTCTCTTTTTTCCCTCAGGCTTGGCCTCAGTAGGGTTAAATTTTCTCATTGCCTGTTTGTGTGGTCATTTTTGTCCTGGACATGATTATTTCCTTCACTGTGGAAGAGACATTTAAGCAGGCATCGGAAATTTGGCCATCTACCTCTGCAAAAGTGATTTGCTTGTTTTGTGTTGGAACTGTTTCACTCCTAGAGAGAGTACTTAAAAATAACACACACCCCCAAACAAAACTTAACTGTATACAGAACTTATTTTAACTATCTTAACAGTGTACAATATTTTGTACATGACCATTGCTGCATCTGCACAAAGAGTTTCTATATGTAGTTTGCTCATTTCTGCAGCAGAAGCTGCCCTCGAGTCTCTGAGACAGCAAGATTCTCCACTCAGCATGTTAATCAACATATTGAAGCATTTAAGTAGTGCTTATCAGTTGGCCTAGGTAGGAACTACCTGGAGGACTCTGTGGAACTGTCTGAAATGCTCATCTGGAGAACTCCTGTACCAATTAGTCAAATGCTTTGTTGTGAAGGCATGTAGCTCAATTACCTTTTCTCAGGTCAGTCCTTTGCCTCATCTATGCTGATGCTAGCAAGGGAGTTCCTTGCTATTAATTAATGGAAATTAATGACCAGGTGCACTGGGTGTGCACATGGGCACAGCCCTCACACCCAGCTACATCACAATTATATGTTTGAATTTATATATTTGAATTTTATGCAAACCCATGGTAGTATGCTAGTTTGTCCTACCTGTGCCTGTCAGCAGCCCTTTGGACAGTCCTTCTCTTGTATAAATCCATTATATATAATTATAGAATCAGAGAAGAACTGAGTTTGGAAGGGACCTCTGGAAGTCTACTAGTCCTATACCGGTGCTCAAAGTGGGGTCATATAGAGCAGGTGGCTCAGCACCTTGTCTAGGTGAGCTTTGAGTATCTCCAAGGATGGAGACTGCACAGCCTCTCTGGTCAAGCTGTTGAAGTGTCTGACCACCCTGTCTAGTCACCATTTTGTCTGTGAGGATGTTATTGGAGACAGTGTTGAAATCTCCTGGAAAGCCTCTGCCCTCCTGTGTTGCCCTTCCAGCAGATATTGGGGTGTGTCAAGCCCCCAGCGAGGACCAGGGCTTGCAAAGATGAGGCTAATTCCGGTTGTCAGAAGAAAGTCTCATCAACTTCTTCCTCATCAGGAAGTTTGCAGCAGACATCTGCCACAGTGTTGATTGGCCCTCTTAATCCTAACCCAAATGCTCTCAACTGGCTCATCAGCCATCCTAAGGCATTCCCACTCTTTCACTTTAAAGGGCAACTCCCCATCCAGCCCTCCTGGCTTGTCCTTCCTAATGAACCTGTATCCATCCATTGCAGCACTCCAGTCTTGTAAGCTATCCCACCACATTTCTGTCTTCCCAGTTAGACTGTAGGCCCTGTAACTGCACACAGAGGTCTAATTTCTCCTGTTTTGTTCCCATGCTGCATGCATTAGTGAACAGGCACTTCAAATTGGCACCTACTTATGCTAGTTACCCAAAAAAAAAGTGAGAGCTTCTGCCATGATGCTGTCCTCTCAGCCCTTCCTTATCTACATGCATACACTTGAGATGGGCCACTTTCACCCTGCTTTTTTGTTCTTGAGATTTCTCTTCTCCACCTCAGACTGCATCTTTTGATTTTCAGTTGGGTCCACTGCTTCCTCACTTGAATTTGAGTTATCTCCCTCCCCCATTGTTCATAGTTAGTTGTAGTAGTAATGGGATCTTTTGAAAGACTTGCTAAAGTTCCTTGTGAAGTTTGTTGTAGGTTGGGGAAAACATCTGATGTGATATGTGATTGTATGTAGGGAGAGATCTAATGAGTTCATCTGATTAGATATGGGAGTCCCATGAACTGTAGATATTTCTAAGAGTACAGTGGGACACAAATTGCTTCTGTCTAGCCAGAAAACTAGAAATATAATGTACAGACAGGCTTTCTTAGAGGCATATTAATCTGTCTTTCCCAGTGGAATTTATTTATTTACATATTTAATGGTAAATTTTAAATTTGAAGTAAGTACTGCTGGGTATCCGGGCAGTTGACTGCAAAGAATAGGGTCACATAAAGAATCAATGCAATAGGAAATGGCAGAACATTGCCTGTTTTCAGCAAATGCAATATATGTCAACAGAACAAAATAACAACAAACAAGTATTCACCAGCTGAATTCACCTCCCACAAAATCTAAAAGGAATTTGCCAGAAGAAATACCTGAAGTCCTCCAGACAGTTTACACACACAAATGCAGACTCTGTAGAAAGAGGAACTCTGACTCACAAATAGCCAAAGACACCCTGGGTGACTATCATCTCCTTCAGTAAAGAAAAACATACAAATAAAAGAACAGTCCTTAGCAAATGTAGGAAGCCCAAGGTGTCCACAAGCCTGTGAAAGAGTTATTCTGACAGAGCCCTCAAAGCTGAATTATTTGCCTTTGTTATACGACTTCTAGCCAAAGTTCCCTACTGCCTCCTTCCATAGAGCCTCACCCAGATTAGGGAAAACCATAGAAACTGAAAAGAAAAACGTAACAACAAAGCTTGAAAGCAAAAAAGGCCATAATTCTTATTTGAGGATCATCTGTTTAAGGTGCTTTCGTATGGAGAAAACCACTGATAGCCCCTTTTTTTTTCCCCACAACAGCAAACTATGCTTCTAGTGTTGAGATTTTTATTTGCAGATTTTTAATTCTTCCTTACAAGAGCATCAGCTATATCACTGCAGTCCATTTTGCCCAAGTGCAATCTTTTGCCTGCTGTTAAAAGATGTAGTAAAGAAATAGCTCATAATCCACATTTGGCAGTAACTTCTAGCCTTTCTGTGCCATTCCTGAAAGGCAAAGCAGCTGTAAAACTGGCAGACTGATTAAGGAAAATAAATGATGGTCACTTTGAACCACCTGTCATGTAGGTCAGTTGGAATGCACCAGAAAATCTGTCTTAATTTTAGTAATTTTAGTAATTTCAGTTTATTATAAATTTTCTAACAGGTATGACAGTATTTCTTCAAACTTAACAAAGTCATCACTTCTACAGAATCATACACTCACTTAAGTTGGAAGGGACCTCCAGGGGTCATCTTGTCCAACTTCTAGCTCACCACAGGTCAATTTAGAGCAGGTTGATAAGATATTTGTTGAGTTTTGAATATCTCCAAGGGTGGATATATTCAGTCTCTCTGGGCACCTTTTCTGTGTTTGGCCACTCTCATTGTGAAGAATTTTTTCCTTATGCAAACCGTTGCAATTTCCCCTATTGCAAATTTTGACCATTGTCTCTTTTCCTCTCACTTGGTCATCCTTTGCTAGCTCATTCCAGTATGTCAATGATGGTCATCTAGCAAGGAGAAAAAGAAATGTATCAGCCCTTGTCATGATTCTGGATATTTCACTAGGACATATCATTTACTAAATGATATCAGACTTCGTCATCAACATATAGTCTGCCTTCCAAACTTCACAGGAAGTTGTTAATCTTTTTGTCTTAATGTTTCATCTGCAAATGAGATTTCCTGGCATTACCTGGCTGAATATTCATGCATTTCAGATGTCAACTGGTAACAACTTGGCACCTGATTGAATAATAGAAAATGAGGCTGGATGGAGCCTTGAGGGGTCATCCATTTACCTTTCTGGAGGAAAAATAATTTTTAGCTAAATAATTTGCTATAAACATTTGTGACTCTCCTTAACATTTTCCTTTGACAGAGAGCCTGCAGTTTCCCAGGCAATCTGTTCCAAAGTTTCATTTTCGTTATGGTCACAAAGTTTTCTCTAAAAGTTAACTTGAATCTCCCTTGCTGTAGTTAAATCCATTACTTCTTTTCCTTTCTATTCCTTCTGTCTTCCTCTTTCAGGTATTTTTTGCATGTTGAAGACTTTTATCATAACTCATCCTACATTTTTGCTCTTCCTACTTCTACGGTAGATTTTGGTTTACTTCTTCCTGATGTAGCATGTTTTTTAGTCAGCTGATTAATTTCTTTTCTAAATTCTCTTCAGTAGGATTCATCTTCAAGTGTGGAATCCAACTTTTGGGCACAGTACAGAAGTGCCAACTACAATGGGAATGTCTTTTCAACTGTCCTAAGAAGGGCACTTTTATTTTTATTGCCCACTATAATTGCAGATATGTCATTGGGGAGTTTGTGACTTCAGTCCGATGTCAGATATTTTTCTGCAAAGCTTTCTGCACCTGACTTGTTTCTCAACTGAATAAAGAAGAGTTGTAACTCTTCTTTATTTGTGCAGTTGATTATTTCTATCTGTGTAGTATTTTGCACTTGTCTTTATTTAATTGCATCATACATAGATCGTTTATTGAATTTCTCTTGGTAATTTTGAACTCTAGTTGTGGTCTAGTTCGCCAGCTTAGCATGATCTGCAAACCTAATCAATAAGTTATTTCTTGCTGAAAATTCTGGGTTGTACTCAATGTATTGTTCCAATTTCTCAGCCTGGGAAATGGGGGGAGGAGCTGGGGGGAAGGTGGTGTTTTAATTTTGTCTTTGTTTCTCACCATCCAAATATATTCTAGTAGGCCATAAATTTAATTATTTTTCCTCAACTCAAGTCTGTTTTGCCTGTGAAGGTAATTGGTAAGTGATCTCCCCTTCTTTATATCGACCCATGAGCTTTTTTTTCATCTTCTTTTCTCCCTCTGTCCTGTTGATGAGAGGGAATGAGAGGGCGGCTGGGTGGGCATCTGGAAGCTTGCCAAGGTCAACGCACAACAGATAGTGTAAAAAAGAGTCTATGTACTTGGTCTCAAAAACATTTCCAATCAATCAGAGGGAGCAGATATTCTCCAAATGCAAGAGTATCTTTATTATCTCTTTCCATGTCTGTCTTTACTACTTAGTTTTCCAAGCAGCCGGCAGTAGTGGAGACTTTATAATTTAAAACCTTTACCCTGATAGCTTTCCGTGTAGGATTTGCATCAACGGTCAAAGTGGAAACACATTACAGAACATTTGCATATATTTTCAAATCTATGTTAACTAAGACAGAATTGTATGTTCAGGTACAAGTGCTAAAATTAATTGAATGTATCTGTGTGGCTCTGCAAATATGCAGCTGTGCCCATAGTGAAAGGGAAGATATTCCAGCCCTTACCTGCCTAAGTCTAAAGCTGGTTAGATTCACCTCTAGGATGTACATGGCTATTGGAAGTAAATCCTTCTATTCTGAACCAAGTTGGTATGAAACCATCCACAGAGCAGACAGTCATTAAGTACAGTATAGGATAGGCTCACATATAACAAATTGTATCTGAATAATTTCAGTATGTTTCTTTGTATCAGCAAGATATTGGCCCTTTTAGTCATGAATCCCAGTACCGTATATCAAGATAGCAAGATAGCAACAGTCCTTGCACAAGCAGAAAACAGAGGGTAGTCTGAAGATGTGTGGTTTGCTGTTTGTGCATCTGGCAAATTATGAATTTAGGAAAATAATAGAAGATGCAGCTCTGTTACAGATGATTTGTAAAAGTGGTAGTCTACCACCAAAAGGGACACTTAGCAGGTATGGACATGTAACACTGGAAAATATCTTCAGGATATGATAGCAACAGAACTGGAAATACAGTTGAAAATATGAAAAGCTGTAAAATTAGTCATCTTTAAAAGTTCAATAGCATATTTATTTCTTTAATGAATTTAGTTTTCAGTCCTCTCTTGATTTTAAAGTGTTTAAAATTGTGGTACCAATTCTGTTTGTGCATTATTTCAAGGTTCACTATGACTTCGGGCTTAGAAATATCCTGTCTGTTTTAAGAACACTTGGAGCAGTGAAAAGATCTAATCCCAAAGAGCCAGAGAAAACCATAGTGATGAGAGTTCTGCGGGACATGAACCTCTCCAAACTGGTACTGTAACACTGGTGACTTTCCCCAAAAGAGTACTTTGTTGGCATTTTTAAGTGTATTTTTTATGCACTTTGAAAAGATCTTTTTCTTCAGCAGTTGGATACATTATTTTGCAATTTTTTATATGGTCTGTCAGTAAGTGGAGAATCAGAATACAGTTACAGTGTGAGCACTATTTGTCTTTTAAAGAGAGGAAAACACATCAAAAGCCTTAGCTGAAAAAATCATTGGAAATACCATCAGAACCTAGAGGACCTAACCTGGTCCTCTAATTGGCTCTTGTTTTTTCTTTTTTCTGCCCTATCTAAGCAGAGAAGGGAAGAATACATTGTATTAACTTTTAATAATGTCATTAAAGATCCTTCTTAATCCAGAATTTCAATCTATAAATTTCTTGGGAGTCTGTTGCCTATTCAGAACATCATAAGAATTGCAATGAGTGAGGTAATTGGAAGCAGCTAACGCCTACTTGTATAGTCTAATGTCTTTCGATATTACCATTTAAAGTATTCATCTTTCTTTTTATTGCTGTAATTGAAAGGTTATAGCATGTCTAGACTCTGTGTATTTACTTGAGAGCCAGTTTTGTGATGGAACCAATTACTCTGTTTCTGATGTTAATCTATTCAGCGCATTGATACATGCGTTCAAACCTATAGGCATGCTTCAGTGATTTACAAAAGGAAAAAAATCATAAAAAATCCAAGGCAAAATACGATTTGAATAAATCTTACTGGTTTATGTAACAAATGAAGAAACGTGTGTGTATATACTGAAGAAAACAGTATTAAGATATTAACAGTTTTATAAGTTTTAAGTATTTAATTTAGAAATTACTACTTGTGATTGCATTGTATGAAATTCACTTAATAAAACTGATTCATAATGATAATATTTGCATTGGAAAAGATAAGGTTTTCTACTGCCATCTTTTAAATGGCATATTCTTGAAGATTGTTTACAGCTGTAATAATAATTTCAATGAATAAATAATGTATTTCCCCCTACTTTATCCTTGACAGGTGGATGAAGATGAACCTTTATTTATGAGTCTCATTAATGACCTATTCCCTGGAATTACTCTGGATAAAGCTGGGTATCCTGAGCTACAGTCAGCCATTCAGAAACAGGCAGAGAAAGCAGGGCTTATTCATCACCCACCATGGATACTTAAACTCATTCAGCTGTATGAAACTCAACGAGTCCGACATGGTTAGCATGCTAGATGAGGTTTTGAGACTGCATAAAAGCAATAGTTTTTTATATTATCTGCTACAGAATGCAGACTACTTTCACAAAAAAAATTATTTTAAAATTGAACAGATGTCATTTTTAAAGCTATGTGGATATTTTGCTAGGAAACTGTCATGACTTTTTTTTTGGTGTGCAATGCACACATAGTGAGATTTTAGCTTTTTTGTATTACATTTTTATGGGAAATATCAGTATAGCCTTCAGTGACTGAAATTTCTATGGAACAAGTTAAAATGTAGAGTATACATTAAAATTCAGAAACAGCCGATTTTGTTCAGTGTTCTGAAAATAATTGTTGCCCTCAGACACAGTTCAGTCATGAAGCTTACGTATAATGTTACTTTGAGATTATGATGCTGAGAAGATTGCAAAAAATAATCTCTCAAACCTTTACTTTGGTAGATTCTACCAAGCATGCAAGTATAATTCCAAGTGTTGTTCTTTGTGTTCAATTCTGGCCATTTCAACTGAGGAGAAATAAGCCTACCTCCTGCTGGACTACGGGGGTTGGACAAGATGGCCTCCAGAGGTCTCTTCCAACCTCAACTATTCTGTGATTCTGTGAAAATACATTTTTACAATGCACAAAAGGCTAATAAGTAAAGTTTATCCTGTCCTAGGAAGCATACCAAAGACAGTAGTAAAACCAGGTTTACAATCTATAGCTGAGTGGAAAAAAAATACCCTTACTTTGAAATGTCCCCCACCCCCCAACCTCTAACAAGTAAGGATTTTTTCATATATGAAGGAGAAAATATAAAGGAAATGTAACTAAAGTAGCAAAGATTTATGAAGATGTCATCCTTTTTATTCTGTCTTTTCATGTCATAATAAGAGAATAGTAAGCTTAAACTAAAGGAACAAATAAAAGGAAATACTCATTTGCATAGCACAGTCTGAGAGCTTAATGCCTTAGTTCAGATTATTGGCTAGACCAAAGAACAGGTTAATGCTGTGCTGAGTTAATAGTTTACATCCAGATCACTGGGTTCAATGTTCCGTATCAAATCATAACGCCTATATCTATATAGGAACCGTGAAAGCTTTAATGATTTCAGTCATAATTAAATGCACCTCTTGTTAGAAGAAGCTGTTTGGTCTGTGAGACACCACAGACCACTGTTCCCCAAAAACCTCAGGGATCCACTGTGGCATTCTGCTTCGATGCCTCTTCTCTCCGCATGTCCCTGCTATTCCCAGGGGTCATGCAGCTCCAACTGGCCTAACGCTTGGACACCCAGGGCCTTTCTATGATGCAAGTTGTTGCATGGAGGGAAAAAAATCTCTTTTTTCCTGACTTCCATTTGTCCTACTCATGGACCCTTGGATTTATGGAGAGGTCACCATGGGATTTCAAGTAATGAGGAAAAAGCCGTAAAATGCATGACTTCTCTTGGTTGAAATAGAGGCAATATATGCAAATGGAGTGCTCATGCACACAGACACGCGCGCGCGTGCACATATGCATGGAGATTCAGTGTATGGATCCTGAAATCTCTTTTGCATAACAGTTTTGATTCAAATGCTGTTGAAACCAGCAGAAAGGCCATTCCATTAACATTGAGGGGCTTGGATTAGATGTCCCCATATGTAACGTATGGCATGAGTAAGTGATTGGCTGGGTACCCAAATTGTTTTTGGGAACATTCGGCTTCCTTTAGTTTTAGAGGCAGTCTGCATTGTACTGGATTAGGTTTGTAACTTGGGTTTGTGATTGTTTGTTCCATACCTTTGTTGAAGAGGTTTTCAAAACCAGCTAAGGATTATGTTGTCCAGTTTCCTCTAGGGTTAATAGGAGTTATCTAGCTCCCTTAGATGACTTTGGAAGTCTCAGTTTGAATGTCTCATCTGCTTTTGGACAGACTCTGGGCCTCTTGAATAGTTGATTTAGAAAATATAACTAAAAAGGATCAGCTGTAGGCTCAATTTATTGTTGAAGACATGGCTTCTTTTCCTTAGGCAATATGTGTATACACTGATGAAATTAAAAGTGTGGTTGCTGTTAACTGTTTTTTATGAAAGAAAAATGTATTAAAATGTCAGCATGGATGGATGCAGGTACATATTTTGCTTCAGAAAGATACACTAAATTTTGTATATCATAGGGAACTACTCATTCTCTTTAAATACGTTTAGAAATTACTGGTTTTGTTTACTACCAGTCATGTCAATGTCATTGCATGCGAACATCAAAAGGCAGTTGTGTTTTCCAATTAGAAGAAGGAACAGAATTGCCTGAGGGAGGATACAGACCCACATAGGCTTGCCTTTCATAATAGAGCACACATTTATAGAGGCCTTTTTAATAATATTTTAAAATTCCATTTCAGTCAACATTGAGTAAGTGGAGTGAGACACTTCTTTTTTGTATTGGCTTTTGATAAAAATAAAACAAGGATCATTGATGCAAAGAACCATTAAATGGTAGCATGACATTTTGCTATTTCATTTTAAACCGTGTTTGTATTGTTTTAAGGTATGATGACTCTAGGTCCAACTGGTGCAGGAAAGACAAAATGCATTAATATTTTGATGAAAGCAATGACAGATTGTGGTGCTCCTCATAAAGAGATGAGAATGAACCCAAAGGCAATCACAGCTTCCCAGATGTTTGGTACCCTTGATGTTGCTACAAATGACTGGACAGATGGGATTTTCTCTACATTATGGAGAAAAACTTTAAAAGCAAAGAAGGTAATGGATATTGTATCATGATAGTTAATAAGGATATTTAATACTCTTTCTATAAGGTCTCATTACCTGTCATTTATGTGAAAGATCTTATATTATAAAATCAAATGGGAAAATACAGTGTTAGTTTTGCTTTGTGTCTGAATAGCTCAATGTACGCCAGAGTCATAATTACGTGTATATGCCAGAGAGCACTAGGCTTCCCAAACACGTGAGGTTCCAGAATTAAATTGGAAAAGATTTTAAGGGTTTTGCATCCTTCTGTAAGCAGGTGGTCCCACCATTCAAGTGCAAAAGCAAGAACTGCTCATGTTTTGATGTGAGGACAGGAAAGTTAATTTTCTCCTGTCTGGTTTTATGTCATTGCCACTCTATTTCACTAATTATATCAGAATGTAAGAGGCTCTGGTAAGAAATCAGTATAGGCATTTCCCAATTCTCTTATCAAACCTGCAGATGATGTTTCATGGAATCACAATTACACTCAAATGTTCAGAAGTTTCATTCAGTTCTCACTTGGAAAATGGGAAGGCTTACATGAAATACTTAGGTAACATCCCACAAGAACTGACTGTGTGCCCGTGTCTCTGCCTGTATTTAATGGGAAATGTTTTCATCCACCCTGATGGGTACTGGGCTGGCTGCTGTACTTTTGTAGAAGAAAGTGACAGCTTTATGCTTAGAACAGCCCAAATGAATTTTTGTCAATATTCCTTAATATCCTTTTTGGTGTGACACAGGATAACAAAAGAAGGATTAAAATCACTGAGCAAATTATAAAAACTGCAGTTCATGCTGAGATAATCAGCACCAAATTACGACTCATTATTTATATCCAAAAGTACATTCTCTGAGATTAAGTGAATGTGTATTTTTGGTCAATGTACATGAAGTTGCTTGTGTGTGTGTCTCCTTTTTTTAGGGTGAGCATATCTGGATAGTTTTGGATGGACCTGTTGATGCAATATGGATTGAAAATCTGAACTCTGTTCTGGACGATAATAAGACCCTTACTTTGGCCAATGGAGATCGTATTCCGATGTCCCCCAATTGCAAAATTATTTTTGAACCTCACAACATTGACAATGCTTCCCCTGCAACAGTTTCTCGTAATGGGATGGTCTTCATGAGCTCTTCAGTGTTAGACTGGAAGCCTATTTTAAGAGCTTGGCTGCAAACGCTACCTGTTACATACTCTGAAGTCCTATGGAATTGCTTTAACGCTGTATTTCAGGTACTTAATTCAGCAACTTGAGAAAAAAAAATTGCATTTCTTATTCTTTATTTAATGAAGCATTGTTTCTTCCTCAGTGCTTTTTCAATTATTTACTTCTCTTTGTTTATGTAATAAAATAAGAATGAAGGATTTAAAAAAAAAAGAGAGGGAACTATCTCTAACATTAACGAATGAGTGAAACTATAACAGATTAATAATTTGGATGCTTCGTTTTGTCTGCATAGGTTAGTTGGCAATGAATTGTTAAATCTGTGATTATTTTGTAATGTATGTTGGCAAACCAGAGATACTCTCTTTAGCTGTAATTGTTACCGAAATTTTAATTCTTGTTAGGATACATAAAGGGAGTGGATAAACTTCCTTGTTTGTTTTAAATGTAAAGAAGTAAATTCAGAAAGAAATTAAGCTAGATTCACTCTGGTGGAATCTTTCTCAATTTTGGCGCAACAGGAATGCATTTGGCCCATTAGTTATTTTTAAAAGACATTCTATAGTTCAAATTAATTAAGGGCAGTTCTGTACTCTGTGGTGTTCTGAAGCTCAGCGCAGGTGACTATAGTGGTGTCTCCTGATTTTATAATCCATGATTCTGTTCCGAAGGAGATTTTTGAGATGGCATGTCTTTGATACATTCTCTGACTAAATCGTGTGCAATCAGTAGATCCAAAGGGAGAATTCTGAACGTTTTTCCCCCTCCATTTGGCCTTAGCATACTGAATCATTAAAAAGGTTTCATTAATATTATGGATGGTTGTACTCAATAGTGGATCTAAAAGCATAATCTCAGTAGTATACTGTTTTCAATTACACTGAAATTCTTATTTTTTCTTTGGAATTTTTTAAAGAAATAGTTATTGCTTTGCAATCTGTCAGTGTTGTTATCTTCTGATTTCCTTAAGATCTGTGGAACAAATGCGAGTTCTTTATATAGCTTGCTTTCCCATTGGCTCTCTCCTGCCAGTTTTCTTGTGTAATTGGTGTAGGATTTCACTGGGGTTTCTCCTGTAATATTTTTCATCGTTGATGGATTTTACAAATGCAGTTTTTAATGAACTTTGAGCAACATTTCAGAAAGTTTATTGATAAATCATGATAAAGGCAATGATTAATATAGTTTTGGAATGCCTTGAATGTTAACAAATGTCTTTTTACAGATATGTTTTCTTTCAGTGCCCCTTTACTTTAAAACCAGTGTTTAACAAGCTATTCATTTTGTTCTACCTCCAAAACATAATGATATGACATAGTATTTACTGCAGCAGCAGGAGAAACAATTCTGATAATGAATTTTAAAATATGCTTCCAAAGTAATCTATATGTGGGTCAATTTACTGCTTCTTTGCCACAATTCTATTTCTATTTTATGCTACAACTTGCTCTGAAAACATAATAACAACATTTAAAGTACCCAAGCCTGAAGCAATGGCAATAAAGTCCAGAAAAATATGTATTTTATTAGATTGAGAGATGAAAATGCAGTGATATATAAAGTTAGTTCTGTGCTGACGGGTGCATTTGGAACTATCGAAATCTAAATGAAAGCTGTCATGCTGTCAGTTTTCTTTCACTTTTAATGAGCTATCTTTGCTTCTCAAGTAATAGAAGTGATAACAGTGATTTTACAGATGAGGGTAACACTACTTTTGTATTCATGTGGCTCTTTTTACAGTTATTATTTTCCCCCACATAAAAAAATGGATAAATAAATTCTAAAAGAAAATTTGTGAAATAAAATGCATCAACAGTGGTAGTCAAATCCCAAATAACAGACCTTGGTGAATTTAACGCTAGTATTAAGAAAAGCATGGATATAAGCAGCTTACTAATATCTGATTTTTAGAAGAAAATGAAGATTAGGCTATAGATGGAAATATAGTAACTACGGAGATTCAGTCTTTAAGTATACCAAGACACCTTTTGAAATCAATCTAAATTCAACCAAAATAGATGTAAGAAAACTGCTACAGTAATTCCAATTTGCTTACAAGAAACACTCATTATTTATGCTAATAAAAATTGTATTTGTCACTGAAAGTCTGCATATTGGATAAAATCATTATTAATGAACGTATAGCAAGTAGCAATAATGTAGGAGGAAGCACCAGAGAATAACAGTTGTGAATCAGTGGAAAGAATGTATTTATTCTTTTCATGTATATTATAAATTTCACTGTAAGTCATTAGTTTTTATATAAAAGACAGGTGGTAGTCCAAAAGACAAGGATAAATTAAAAAACAAACAAACAAAAAACCCCCAAAAGAACCCCCCAAATACAACCTTATTTTAAATTAAGATTATCTTTGAGTCCTTTCTATTTCCACAGGATTTTTTTAAAACAGTGATTGAGGGGGTTGAACTTTTACCCTACCTTTCCCAGTTCTTTCTTCTCAGCAACATTTCCCGCTTAGGAGTAATTTCAAGTAAACTCCCATCCCCATCTAAAGTCTCTGCTCTCTTAAATTTAGAAGCTATACTGCCAATTTCTTGCCTGTGAATGATGCTGCTACCTGTAAGCAACAGAATTGCTTAGCTGATGGAAGTAATTATCTGAGACAGTTTCAAAGAACTGAAATAATTAAAATAATTACCTGAGTGGCATTATTTAGTTTGTCTGCAAAGTGTGAAGCTCAAACTAGTGATGGATGTTATGTGAGTAACATAAGTTTCAGCATGTCTATGTATTGTTTAAATGAAAAAAATCTAGTAATTTTTAAATCACACTCACTTTCCTTTTTTTTTTTTTTAATAAAATCTGGTGTCCTGGATCCCTTACTGACCTATTCTGGAGACTTCAGAGAAGTCCTAAAAACAACAGAGTAGTCAGATGTGACTTATTCCTCCCTCCACATTAAATCTTACCCTAATCTTATTTGGATAAAAGCTGCTATTGCCTCTGGAGCATAGAGTTGAATATGTAATCCAAAGAGTTTCTTAGCTTTAATATTTAAATGCTGATGTTCAAATTAATATTACAAATACTAATAACTTTGCATTATTTAAGTGTTCTTGTGCTTGTCTAAACCCTTTGAGTATGTTGCCAACTTCTTGTCCTAAAGAGCGTTCTACAGTCCAGTGAGTTCCACAGTGACTGTACACTGTGCGAAAGGGTCTTTTCTCATATGAGTTTTTACCATCTGACTTCATTTTGCAGTCTCCTTTTAAGGGATAGCAAGTTCCTGAACCAAATTCTTCGCAATTTGTGTGTATTTGTCATGGCCCAACTAATTTTTCCAGACCCCCTGTGCAAACAAAATTCTGTAATAAGTAGTTAATTCATGCTAATTGCTATCTTGATGTTGCATCCTTCTTTTTGCCATGTATTGTTTTAAAAATAGTAGTAATAAAGTATTAGCATATATGGACCTGATTTATTTTTCCATAAACTAAAAGTTCAAGAATTACACAAACCTCACTCACATAAGTACCATAAAACTCGTTCTGTTGAAAATTGGGCTCTTGAAAATACAGACTACTTTGACCCATGAAATATCTTTATTCTGAGTGTCTCAAATCAATTATTAAACAATTTGCAGTGCCCTGTGAGACATCTAGTCTATTTTACAGATGAAGAAACTGAATCTTAGAGAGATTTAGGCCCAGATTTTGAAGGTCTTTAGATTCGAATCTCCCACACTGCTTTCAGTGTCTTACTTCTACCCATTCCTTGTGGAATCCACAAACCCCCAATTAGTCACTTGAGCACCCTATGTACTGCTGGGGGCAAAACACGCGTTTTAGAAGGTAAGCCACAAAAAGCAACACACGGAGGTGGAAGCACTTTTGCTAGTCAACAAGAAATAACATAAAAAGGGATGTTTTCTAAGCCTCCCTCCTCCTATGTATGCCCACATTCAGACTGTCTTCTTTCTCAGACCACTTAGCCATGAGCCCTATTCTAGATGAAGATGCTTAAGTGAGTTTTTTCTCATAATATATATCTTTGTTGTGTGTGTTACCCACTATTCTAGTGAGATGGAACTCAGGAGGATGGGTAAAAATCTTGATTCAGTCTCTGTGCCAATAAATACTCAGCATAGGGTACTTAGAGCACTTTAGTGGCAAAAAAAGTAAACTGAAAATTGGAACAAAGCTGGTTAGTATGTGGGTAAGCAGCTCACTGATTTTTCAAAAATATCTAGGTGATTGTTTACATCTTTGGGTGATTTAATGTCTTCATTGTCTTAACTTTCTCACTGACAGGACATGGAAGCCATAAATGGAAATTCTCCAAAATTACTATCTCCCATCGTGTCCCTGTTGTACTTTTACTTCCCAGAATGAGTAGGCAGTGTTGATTTCCAAAGATTATGAAGGCAAATGGAACCCACAGGGAGGGAATTATATTAAAAATTATTAAATGAAGATGAAAGTAGGTTATAATTTACATCAGTCTGTACTATGGATGGCAATTGATATTTTAAAATAATTCTGCACTGCAAATCTCAGAGAGGACTTTACATCAATTTGAAACTGTGCTAAAGATGTTGCAGAGCACTTGGCAAAGGCAGGCATGGTAGCCATCGCTATGGAGTCACCTGAGGAAAGTCCAGGTTCCATTAAAATCAACTGCAATATTCCCTTTGGATCCTGCCAGGGTTCTACAGAAAACTGAGAGTATTAGTTTCAAGAGGGACAGGTACATTATGGTGCAGTCAGAACAGGTCAGATGGGTAGAAATTTATAGTGGTGAGGCTGTGAATTATACAGGTATCATTACAACAATTGTAGTGCTTTTATCTTCCCACTACAAAAATGGCAATGGTAGATTAAAATCTCCAGTGGATAGCACAAATGGCAGATCCCTGATGTAACTGCAAAGCAGTCTTCAAATTGCTCTTCAGAAAATTGCTGTATGGAGCTCATATGAATAATTCTGCTGACTGTGGTACATCAAAGTTATTTATCTAATATGTTATTGTTAGCAAATTTTCATGGTCTAAGTCTGAATATTTATAATCCCAGAAATGGGGAAAAATGTTGTTTGGAATAAAGTTTAGAATATATTTGAAATTAAGAAATTGGTCTCATCTTAGAATAAATCATACCATTGAAACTGGTAAATAGAGTCTTTAAATGATGTTTCTCCTTTCCAGGATGTGATAGATTTTGTTTTCTCTGCTGTGACACCAAAAATGCCAATTTTAGAATGTATGTACATCAAACAAGCTATTGACCTCCTACAGGTAGATATGACATTCAGTTTTTCTCTCTCTCATTCTGTTATTTGTGCTGGGACATTGGTCTAGGAGGGTAGTCGTTACATATTGCATCTACTTTGCAGGGTTTATTGTCCGACCGATATGAGAAGCAGCTCAGCGAGGAACATATTGCGCGCTTGTTTGTTTTTGCTGTAATGTGGTCAGCCGGAGCTCTTTTGGAACCGGATGACAGGCTGAAAATGGAGCTGTTCCTACGGAAGCACTCCGCAGTGAAAGAACTTCCAGCTGTGAACGGAGAAGAAACCATGTTTGAATTTGGTATCAATGCCAGTGGCCAGTGGGAGCACTGGTCAAAGAAGGTTCGTATGCTGTGACAACCTAAGCTTTCTTAATGAGTATACAAGAAAGATGTATTTGGTAAGAGGCATATTATTTTATTATTTAAAACCCTGCATAATTTGGTTAGGAAGATTAACCCTACCAAATGCTCAAGAGTTTCTTTTTTGAAAAAGATTTTTTTGTTTTCTCCATAAATATTTTTGGCAGAGAATAGGAACATGCATTTGAAATAGCTTTGGAAGTGAAACAGAAGTGATCTTAGCTTTGTCTACTGTGTATTGCCCTACTATTTAAGAACTCCCAGCAAGGAAAAGCTTTCTTCATGTAGCGGAGAATACATGGAGAGTATAGTGAAAATATCCCGTTAGTCTAACACCCTTCTAGAAAAGCTTGGGAAGGTACTGATTGATTATAAATGGATGCTTGGCTTTCAGGAAGAAAAGTTTTGCTAATGTACATTTTATAAAGTACATTTGGTTTTGTGTTCTGATGCGAACTGATTGTGTGGGCAGATAGAACTTCTCAAACTTTTTGCATGTCTGTTTTATGCAGGTCCCTGAATATACTTACCCTAAAGATTCAGTACCAGAATATACTTCCATTCTAGTTCCAAATGTAGACAGTGTCCGAACAGGCTTTCTAATGCACACTATCATGAGGCAAGGAAAAGCAGTTCTGCTAACTGGGGAACAAGGAACAGCAAAAACAGTTATGATTAAGGTTGGTGGAATGGAAAAACATGCAATATCTTTGTATGATAACATTGCAATAATTGACATTGGCACAAATGTTAAATTGAAGTGTAGGAGTAACATGATTTTTCTTCAGATTACATACTAGCATTCTTACTGAGGCATTTTGCCAGTACTCACATGGCCTACAAGCAAAAAACCGTAAGTATCTATACGTTAGTATAAAGGGTTCTTCTAAACTTTGCTAACCATGGCCACAAGGTCATGTCATAAATGCTCTTTCATGTGCTTTTTTTTCTTTTGAGAAGTCAAACTGGAGTTTTTGCTAAGAAAATATTGATCCTTGGAGGATTTTTTATTTCCCCATGCTTTGTCAGTGGTGCCAAGTGTGAACTGATCTTTTGTATACCCTTGTTGTACAGAGTTTCTTCACAAGCCAAACTGAGGAGAAATAGAGAACTTCCTTCTTTAATTTTTCAGAGGGTAAATTTAGTGTTTATTATCTGCTCTCTTAATTCTTTCACTGAAAATGACATATTGTTCTTTCTGTAGAAGAAAATAACAACAGGATTGCTATTAAATTAACATATACATGCTTTCCATGTTATAAAATGGTGCAAGTTAATCATATGACACATTAAAAAATTAATTACTTACTACAGAAGAGCCAATAATCAAAAGGCTGAACAAACCCAGATGTCATACCAAACCTGGCATCCCTTATTTGAAAAAAGCCAAGTGTAATGGTTTTCAGCATGATGTCTGTGATTTCCAGGGGAATCTGTAGTCTTTGATCAATGAGAGGCAGCTAAATAAAACTGATCTACTGTTTTATTTATGAATTTGCCATGCAGGCATCCGAATCTCCAGTGGATGATTTGCAGAGGTCTTGAAATCGAAAATAACTGAAAAACACTGGCCTAAATTGACCTTTGGCTTTCTTAAAATCTGGAGCCATTTTGTGTCCCTCAGCCATGTGTTTTCTGAGCCCTGACATAAAGTGAGTTGTACCAATGCCAGCAGCCTTTAATACTACTTTTTCAGCTTAGCTGTTGATGCCAACATGCATGCCGGTGTAATGTCAACTTCTGTTCCTGGCACCAGCTGGAGAACTATTTTAGCAGTGTGAAGAGGCGGGGTCTGGGTGGTGGTCTTGATATTCTGCATACTGGATTTTGGCCAGATACTGGCAACCTCCAGCCTTCAGCTGCCATTCCTGTCCCTAAAAATAGTTGGAGCTGATTCTTGGAGTTGCTTACCCTATGGCTATTCTATACAGCAGAGTATGTTCCTTACACAACGGAGCATAATGCCAGTAGATATTTGATCTCATTTAAGGTTAGGAGTGAAAGTTAACTGCCTTCACAACTATTCCCTTCTGCTTTCACCTTCTGTAGAATTTTGCTTTACTACACCTCGTGGTAAAGAAATTTCCAGATATAAGCATCTGGTTTCACGTAAAAGTAAAGACACTTCAGGTAGTAATCTGAATTAATCTGAAGTAATCTTCAGCATTGAGTAAGGTATCGGTATATATATCAAAATAAAGAACTTATAAGAGTGTTATTTAAGACCTTTACTCTCTGTACTGTTAATTCATGAATTGCAAAAATAACAGAATTTAATGTGAAACTGGTATGGTAGAGTTGAAAATTGCACCCAGCATCTGACAATTTAACTAACAAAAATAATCCCATTAAATAACCTCTTCTTTTTCAAAGATAGTTCTCATTTATGTACTGTGGAATATTACTGTTACCATGTAAAGATTCTGAAATGCCATAACGAGTAAAACACAAGAATGTTTTTTTGAATGGTTGTGTATTCATAGTTGTGGTGGGTTGACCTTGGCCGGCTGCAAGACCCCCACCCAGCCACTGGTTTCCTCCTTCCCCTCCTCAACAGGACATGGGTTGGGAGAAGAACAGGGAGATCACTCACCAATTACCATCAAGGGCACCTGCACCTGTTACATTAGTTTTGTACAAGTGTTGGAGCTCCAGGGAGAGGTCTTAGCAGTGACCTACACTAACCCATCAGCTGTCAAGAGTACTCACCAAATACAGGACTGTTGCATGTACATGTTGCATATGTAGACTGTCGTTTGTGTGACGTCTGAGAAAAACTTATTTCTGAAGGGCACCTTTTCTTAAATTAAGATCATTGTATCGACATTGTATCAACAAAATTAATAGTTTGACACTATTATCAAAATATTTTGAGGGGGCTTAGCTGTATCTTGCTTTCTATTGTCACACAGGGTGTATGTCTCACTGGAGTTGTTCTTCGAGCACTTAGTCAGCAATGATGTAGGTTTATTTTTCTGACGTACCAAAACGGGAACGTTTCTAGTCAACCCTGTTATAAAGATAAGAATTTAAATGATACTCAACTTTGTCATCATTGCAGAAGAATCGAATCTTTAAAAAGAAGTAATGTTGGAAGTCTGGAATTTTTAATACTGTTATGTCCCAGGACTCTTGCTAAACAAAATATTTCCCATGCTTTATATATATGCCCTAGTGTGACTCCAGGGTTACACTTTTTCTTTTCGGTTCTATTATAAAACCTCACTAAATATGAAAAGTGCAACTTTGTTGCTTTAGGGCATCATCAGCAGCTGTGGGAATTGTATGCATTCATAAAACCCAAGGATTCCTTTATTCATTAAGAGGGGACAAATATCAGTAAATGCAATGTAGCTGGGTTTAATTTTACACTACCTTTCCTTTACACTGCTTTTGTTGTAAGATATGGTGCTGTAGTGTAAACATGGAAGAGGATTTCATTTTTCACTTGTTCCTTGCAGACTGCTGTAACAGATCACTAACAGCTTGAATTTAGAAAAACCGTAACAATTGCTAATGCAAATTTTCATCCTAGGTTGTCATGTCTACTTGTTGTAACACTTAGTGAAGTGTGTTAAAAGCTTATAAATTCTAATGCTTAGAAACTTTATGCAAAACATTAACTGAGAGGTTGGAGATGGTGTATTTATCTTAAATAAACTGCTGTTTGACATTTTGAAGTTAATAGCAGGGTGAGATTTTGTAGATGTCTGGTTTTTGCAGGGCTACTGAGCATCTGCATCTCCTTTTGGCTGAATTCATTTGGAGTTACTGCACTTTATTTAAAATTGGTTTATCTTGCAGGATTACACAAGCAAGTATGATCCTGATGTTCACTTGACCAAATGCCTAAACTTTTCTTCTGCAACTCTGCCAAATATGTTCCAGAGGAGCATAGAAAGTTACATAGATAAAAGAATGGGCACCACATATGGTCCTCCGGCAGGGAAGAAAATGACTGTCTTTATTGATGACATCAACATGCCTGTGATTAATGAATGGGGTGATCAGGTAAAAGGAAAATGTTAACATTTGGGAATTGGTGGTCTTACCATTGCTGTTGATGGAAATGTTGATCTGTGGGTTGCAAAAATAGGAAAGTTTAGGGAAAAGGTATCATAATACGGACTAGACCAAGTACATCTACTAAAAGCAATTTTCCTCCATCCAGTTTTTGCCAAGAGTGATAAGCTGTCAGTCCCAAAAGATTAGGGTCAGCATCAAGCCACTTGGTGCAATCATTGTAGTTTTTAAGCCTTTTGTTTTGGTGACATACAGAGCTTGCAGAATTTCCAAACTAGCTGTACTAAGAACTGATCTGGGAAAGGAAGCATGCAAATCCAAGAAGCAATCAGAGACTCTTCTTCCATCCACTCTGGACTTTAAAGTACAATTATTATTAGGTGAAATCTAACATTACAGTTGACATCCAAGACTAGCGAGATGTCTTGAGGTATTGATAAATGAATATTTATAGACCTATACTCTGAAAATCTGACTTAAATTTTAAAAAATTACTGCTGAGAAAAAGTAATTTTCCTGCTCCCAGTATAGCTCTATAATCCTGTTCTCTCCCTGCTTCTATACAAGTGAATGTGTGACTATACTTTGTGCTAAACTAACCATTTTTTGTCACTATCTAAGTGTCTGTGTCAATCTGAATATATAGTCTGGCTTGAAACTTTAAACTGCTGAATTTTCTTAGATGGATATTATGGAAATCCAGTTGAATGTCTGACCTCATGTCAACAACTACTTAGCACATGAAGCTTACATAAAACCAATCCACTGCATCAGAGCTCTTGGTACCGTGTTGCATGGCTTTATAAATTGCTGAAGTGTCCAACAGAATACCTGAAGTTAAGAAAGATAAGAGATGTCTTTCCTTCTGTCTACTAATTTATTTTACTGGAGACTTCCTCTTTCCTTTTTTTAAGTTGAGAACCCTGAAATAGTTAACTGCTCCATTTCTTTTTTTTGGGCGATAACTAGATCACCAATGAGATTGTAAGACAGCTGATGGAACAGAAAGGTTTCTACAATTTGGAGAAGCCAGGAGAATTCACAAATGTGGTTGACATCCAGTTTGTAGCTGCTATGATTCACCCTGGGGGAGGTCGGAATGACATCCCACAGCGCCTGAAACGCCAGTTCACCATCTACAACTGCACACTGCCTTCCAGTTCCTCTATTGACAAAATATTTCAAACAATAGCTGAAGGCTATTTCTGTGAACAACGAGGTTTCCCTGCAGAAATATGTAAACTGGCTTCAGCATTAGTATCTACAACTCGAAAGGTTTGGCAGACAACAAAAGCGAAGGTAAAATTACATCTGTTAAGAAGCCTTTGAAACACCTGTACAAAGCAACAAGACCCAGGTCTTCTGTACTGTCATGTGTGTTCATGCTTCATATTGTGAAGCTGTGACCAGTGTGTATAACTGCGGGCTGATGCCTCTGTTCTGAATTTATTGCTATCAACACCTAGTTAGCTGATTAAAAACATAATGATATGCAGTGCCTTCTATAGCTAATATAGGAATTACATTATATAAGTATAATGTAGTAAGCATAGCTGATAGGAAGATTTAGAGGTCTTCTGGTTGAGAAAATGTCAAGGGTATAAGGAATCATAACATAAAAATTAGATAGGAATCTTCTGTAAAGATGTTTGGGATTGTGAGAAACTTTAAAGATCTGAATTAAAGGAAAGTAGTCAAATTTGGCGGAGAGGGAATCAGTTCAAAACAAATGAAATCTGGTATTTAGTAAATTCTAAATATTTACTACTTCCATTTCAAGCAGATTGCATTTAACTACATTTAACTGCAATTCCTAAGCAAATGTTGCTTTGAAATAGAAAATAAAAGTTATGTGTAGAATGAAATTTGAAAAGTTAAGAGTAAAATTACAGCATAGAAATGTGTGCCAAATTTGATCTTCTAATGCAAAAAGTAGAGGAGAGTGGTGGAAAGATAGGGATAGGCAGGGATTTGATAAATGATATTTTCTAGTCTGAAAAAGGTTAGTCAGAATTTCCCAAACTCAACTGTAGACGTAAACTCGGCTTACACAGAGAAATAGAGAGAGTTCTCGTGAAACTATTGACCAATCAACTATTGACCAATATATTCAACAGAAATGGTGCTTATTACTGCTAATTAACTGCCTATAGAGAAAATATAGCTTTTGCTAAGTTGTTCATTTTTTCGAATCCTCTTTTCTCATTTTTCTGCACTCTTTTCTTTGCTTTTCCTCATCTACTTTTCCTCATGAACTTTTTCTTACTTATTCTTGGAAAGAACAAAAGGGAGTGACAGAAATGATCTGGAAGAAAGGGCAGGAGCAACACCACAGGTTAAGCAATGCTGACATTTTTACTGTGGCCTTTAATGCCATCGTTAAATAACCTGTCTTGGCTACCCTTCAGTCCATGTTCCTGGGACTTGAAAGATTCAAAGAAACTTGAGTGAAATATATGTGAAATTAAAGAGCTGGTCATTGCTACTGTCATTTCTTCATTTTTACCGTTGCCTCTTAAATGCCAAACATGTATTTCTGCTTTAATGCAATATTGATTTTGAAGTTTGTGAAAATTTCCATAGTCATTTAATACTAGATAGAAAATATCTTTATTTGGTAGTTATTTGAATATAGCTTATGACATTATTTTGTAGATGTTACCAACTCCAGCTAAATTTCATTACATCTTTAATTTACGAGACCTCAGTCGTATTTGGCAAGGAATACTTACAGTTACTTCTGAAGTCTGCCAGAGCATCAGTATTTTGGTAGCCTTGTTTCAGCATGAATGCAGACGTGTTATAGCAGACAGGTTCATCAGCCAGAGTGATAAAGACTGGTTTGAAGATACGATGAAAAAGGTAGGCAAATAGTGTTCCAGTATTTGCCACAGAAAGACGTCAATGAAATGTTTCATTACTAAAGCAATCCTTAATGTATTGTTGTAGATTGCTTCTGCAGAACATAGTCAAAATCTATTTGAAGATAAATCCACAGAATTATACTTTGTGGATTTCTTGCGTGATGTCCCAGAAGCTACTGGAGATGAACCTGATGACGCAGAGTTGAAGGCTCCTAAAATTTACGAGCCTATCCCATCTTTGGATTATTTGGCTGAAAGATTACAGATGTTCATGCAACAGTACAATGAAACCATCAGAGGATCAAAGATGGATTTAGTGTTTTTCAAGGTATTAGTGCCTATAATTATATTAATACAGAAAGTGCTGGGTCTTTTGCACTTACTGATACATGGATCCTGTATGTTTCTGTCAAATTATTTTGGAGATAGGTCAGAATGGCTAGCTCTGTATCCAACGAGCCTTACAAATAAACTCTGTAAAGCCTTGCTGCTGCCTCCTAGCTGCCTTGGCTCTCACAAATTGTTCCATCTCTTTGCAGTTCCCCATCTTTTCTTTCTCCTGCCTTGCATAATGCAAAGCACAACTCATTTGTTTGTACAGTGCACATTGTGAATGTCATCTTGCATCTCTGAAAGTTACCTCCTTCTCAAAGGTCTCTTGATGCATGATACTTTCTTCAGCTTTAAACAGGGTGGTTTGGTAGATTTTTAGGGTATTTCAGATTAATTCTTGCTCCAAGATAAATACAGCAGTGGAACAAGAAATGTCTATAGTGTACTTGTATTTTACTTTTGGCAGCCTATTTAGAAAGCCTGTAAATAGCTCAACTAAAAGGTGGGGGGAGGGTGTTAATCTGCATCCTTTCTACTTTTCCTTCTTTCCCCTAAGGGACATGCCCTCTGCTCTGCCAAGTATAGACACTGCATATGACATTGCTTCATATGAGCTTGATATGAGGACATTTCTCTTGGGCTAGCCCTGCTGCCCACTGAAGTCAGGGGGAAATGTTTGGTTGATTTTGATGAATACAAGACTGAGTCTTTGGCATAAGCTCCAGAGAAGTCATCTAGCTGTTGAGAGACAGTTGCTTGGTGATGTGCTTCTAGTTGAATATACATTATATTGTTTTCACATCTTTTCATCCCTTTTTCTCTCAATACACAGGATGCAATCATCCATTTGATTAAAATATCACGGATTATTCGTACTCCACAAGGAAATGCATTGTTGGTGGGTGTGGGTGGATCTGGAAAACAGAGTCTGACCAGACTAGCATCATATATTGCTGGATATGAGAGCTTTCAGATTACTTTAACAAGGTAACACAATGCAGTGTACATAGACATTTGCTCCTTAATTTGCCATAGAAATGAACGTCTCACAATCAAATTAAAGAAATGCAAACCTGTCAAACATTTTATCCCTCATTGTAAACTACATGTTAAATCAAAAGCATCTGTGCAAATGCATAGTCTATAGATGACAGATCCTGGGTCTTTGTTTTGCTGCCTCTATGCTATTGACAAGAAATCTGTCTTTCCTTCAGCGTTTGGGTCTGCAATGCGCCCTTGTGAAATCCCACTAAAATACCATTTTGCACTAAAGATAACATGGAATAATCTGCTGGTGTATTCTGCATAGTGGGCAAATGCTGATGGCCAGGGGAGATAGTAACTTTTTCTATAGATGCCTGTGTACCCAGACTGTATTATTACAACTGCTATCAATGACTTAATAGTACATACTGCTGGAATTTAGTAATTTGTAGAAATTTGAAGTGACTGGGAGTAACTACTGCCTTCCATCTGTTTCTCTTTTAACGTAGGGTTTACAGGGGTAAACTCTGAGGGCTGGCAGTGTGTATTTCACTCTGTAAAGTACTGAACACACTGAGAAATCTTCCTTAGAGAGGAACAATGTTGTGAGATTTCTGATGAAAGGAAAGAGAAAGAAAGACATATCACAGCCTCCTCCTGTGTCCCAGAAGCAGAAGGAAGGAACAAAAAAGGGAGGGAAAGAAAAAAGTGTAGAGTCACAGAATAGAGTCCCTAGACTTGCAAGATTCAAAATGCATTAATAAGACAAATAAATATTTCAGTCACTTAAGAAAGGTTCATTTGCTGAGGCTAATTGGAGGTGGGTTAAAAGCAGGTAGCTGAAAGTGTGTATTTACAAAGTGGATAGCCATCTTTTGTAACTTGCTGCAGGCTGCTGTGGAGGAAGACAGTATCAGCAGGTTCGTAAATGAATACTGAAAGGACAAGATGGGGATATCTTCTAATATTCCTAATACAATGGCTATGAATATGGAGAGGGGAGGAAAGAAATGAGCAATGAAGAGTGGATGCTGCCTCATGTTTTCTCTCTAAGTAGCATTTCCCATTGCTGGTGTTAAGAGTATTGAGCTAGATGGCTTGCTGTTCTGGTTGGATAGCAGTTGGTTGGACTCGATGATCTTAAGAGTCTTTTCCAGCCTAATGATTCTATGATTCTATGATTCTGACTCAGTAGAGAAATTCTTACGTTTTTATCGGAATACCACAAATCACTGTAATAACTGTAGCTGACACGTGCAAACTGAAGAGTTAGATTGTTTTACAAGTTCTGCAGTGCTTGCATTAGGGATATTTATAGAGCAGTGGTGAGATGAAGCTGGAAGAGAACTGGCAGATGTTCTGTATGGCATATTTAATTTCAAAATACAGTATTATTTTCCAATACTGAAGAATGGGACATAGGTGTATTGCAAGTATTACTTATGACTTTGAAGAGAGCCTTGGAAATAAGAAACTGGTTTCAAAGCAAAGAGGTTCTGAACTTCAGCTTTAATTGGCTAAGAACATAAGGGTCAATATCTGCCATTTTATTAACCTTAATTTACTTCATTTGGTATTGCATAATTTGAAATCTGTAGTTGAATTTGCATGGACTTCATTTGAATCTTACTTGTATGCACCAACTCTAAGAGGTGTAATGAAAAAAACAGTCATGGTCTCTATTTGCAGCAGAGTTAATCAGCCCAAGTGATAATGTTCAAACATCATTTCTGGGGCTTGATTTCAGTCAAACCAAATAACAATAAAAACGTCAGTCTTGGTTATTCTTGTCTCTTAATAGTTTCGTTTAACCTGCTCTCAATATCTTCAAAAGATAATCCAGCTGTATTTACGTAATGGTTACAAGTATCAGAACCAAATTGACTACTCAATCCAGTTATACTAACCTTCAGTTCTAATAAAGAGTTTACGTCTGCAGATTGTAAGGAGGCAAAGCAGTGTACTTACCTTAGACGAAGTATTGCTCTTATCATCTTTTTTTCCAGCATGTTATTCTGTTGATTTCACCTCCTTTTCCATGATTTATGGTACTGATCATTCACTTTGGGAAAATGTTTAAGAAAAAAACCCTAAAAAAATGAAACCAGGAGATATGGTATTAATTTCTTATGTAGATTTTTTCTTGCCTTAAAGAAGCTGAGCCAGGTGATAGACAATGATCTGTAATTTTTGTTCTCTCTTTCTTTAATCCTTTTCTATCCCAGAACATATGCCACCAATAACCTTTTGGATGATCTGAAAATTTTGTACCGCACTGCTGGGCAAAAAGGAAAGGGCATTGTCTTTGTATTCACAGACAATGAAATCAGAGATGAATCATTTCTTGAGTACATGAACAATGTTCTGGCTTCAGGTGAAGTCTCAAATCTTTTTGCACGAGATGAAATAGGTGAAATCACACAAGACCTGATACCGGCAATGAAGAAGGAGTATCCAAGGCGTACTCCCACTGGTGAAAATCTTTATAATTACTTTCTTGCTCGAGTTCGTAATAATCTGCATGTCGTCCTTTGTTTTTCTCCGGTTGGGGAAAAATTCAGAACTCGTGCACTCAAATTTCCAGGTCTGATTTCAGGCTGTACCATGGACTGGTTCCAGCGCTGGCCTAAAGATGCTCTTGTAGCAGTTGCACAGCATTTTTTAGCTTCCTACCATATTGAGTGCACAGATGAAGTGAAACAGAGTGTTGTTAACACCATGGGAACATTTCAAGATATTGTAGCTGAAAAATGTGTTGAATACTTTGAACGATATAGGCGACGAACATTTGTGACTCCAAAATCTTACCTGTCCTTCATTGGAGGCTACAAAGCTATTTACAAAGAGAAGTTTGCCAATGTTGGAAGTTTATCTGAACGCATGAGAACAGGTACTGTAAAATCTGTTTGATTTTTGTTTGTTTGTTTTTAAAAAAGTGAGAAAAATCTGTGTAAAAGAATGTAAAAGTATGGATTTAAATTGCGAGCTTACTTTCATTTGGAAGCAGACTCATATGTTTTCAGCTCTGTTGTGTGTGATTACAAAATATGGGGATGTTTTGTGACTGAACTTTGTGAATGTTGCAGATTGCAGATGAGTTTTGAAATTAGTATTAGTTAGCAGTTAAAATACCTGAAACTCCTGCTTTGACATGTATGCATGCCAAGGAACTACTGAGATCCGAGTTTTCACATTTAAACATGCTAAAAGTAAATCTGAGGGAAGGTAAGTAAATGTTCAGATTCAGTCACTCTGAAGAATCTTTTAAAGAAACAGTTATACGCCAAATGTAAAATTTCCAAAATATTGTACTGCACAAGGTCATACACAGTAAATAATTAAACAGTTTCTGAAACTGAATGCTGTTTGGAGGTGAATGTGAACTTAAACTGTTTCTTCTCCCACTGTTGCCAGTTGCAGAACTGAGCTATGTACACGTATCTCCATAGGCAGAGGGTGGCTGGGTACCTGGATGGAACATATGTGCTTTTTTTGAGGGTTAGAAAGATTTACATGATGCATTTACATTTAGATGCATGCATTTATATATATAAGGATTTTTATACTTACAGCTTTTCTAGGTGATTTTCTCATCGTTTGATAAAAACGTTGGAACATTGCATTGCTCAAGAATCTTTACTTTCTTTTACCCCCATCTCATCTGGATGTTCATGTAATGTTGAATTTAGAAGCTCAGCCTGGTCTCCTTGTGTCTTCATTTGCATTGCTCAGGATGCCAGATTCCTCCTCTTTGTTTTGTGCAGAGACTACACTCTGGTACTTCTTATGGTCTCATGGATTTCTGAAATTACACACGTAATTGTTAAGAGTGCCATTCACAACACTAATGCTTTTCAATATGTGTGTTTAATATTTAGTGTCCCTCATATATAAGAATATAAACAAGTGATCAAGTGACAGATTCTGAAGACTCTTACCCATTAAAAAAAAAAAAAGAGAAAGAAAAGAAAAACCTTTAAATAGCAAATGGATATTACTCCTGCTTAATTTTGGTGTTCAACAAATGGGATCACTCACTGGGATTCCCAAATACGAATCTGAGTGACTTATTTTAAGTATCCAGATTGCTTCACTGGGCTTTGTCTCTCAATAGGTCTTTCTGTTGCTAAAATGGAATTTGTTCAACACAGGTCTTGCAAAACTGATGGAAGCTGAGGTTTCAGTAAATCAGCTCTCCAAAGAGTTGGTGGTGAAGGAGAAAGATTTGGCTGCAGCTTCAAAAAAAGCTGATGAAGTTTTATTGGAAGTAACTATGAAAGCCCAAGCTGCCGAAAAGGTGAAAATGCAGGTGCAGAAGGTAAAAGACAAGGCTCAGGCCATTGTGGATGACATTGCCATTGATAAAGCAGCAGCAGAAGAGAAGCTTGAAGCTGCAAGACCTGCATTGGAAGAAGCCGAGGCAGCCCTGCAGGTCAGAGTCAAAGATATTCTGAACATGCATGTAGTTAATGATTGTTACTTGTAATAATCAGAAGCTTATGCTTCTGATTTGAAAAAAAAAATATATTGAAAGGACTAGCACTGACCTGTTAATCCTTGTAGAAAAAAACCTGAAAACTAAGGCAGTAGAGAGATAAGATGCAGTACCTCCTCTACTCTCAGGTAATAAAGCAGTCATTGAGTGGTACTACCTTTAAGGTGCAGTACTGCTTCTGGGTAATCTGCAAAACTGCAGCAACTGCATTACATATACAGTCCTCCAAAAAAACATTTTTCTCTACCATCAAGTGATTGCTTAAATAAATGGATTATTTTCTTTTTTAATTTTTCAGACAATAAAACCTTCTGACATAGCAACTGTTCGCAAACTGGGTAAACCTCCTCACTTGATAATGCGAATTATGGATTGTGTGCTACTTTTATTCCAAAGAAAAATAGACTCAGTAACACCTGATCAAGAACGCCCATGTGTGAAGCCATCGTGGACTGAGGCTTTGAAGCTAATGAATAATTCAGGATTTCTTAGCATGTTGCTTACTTTCCAGAAGGTAAGAAGTTAATAGTGGCACTATTACTCCTATAACTATCTCTGGAGATCATTTGAAGGTGTCTTCTACCTTCAAAGGTAGTTTGAAACAGATAAGGCTTTTGTGTACCTATAGTTGTAGATACCTTCGTGACTGTATTTCTCTCCATTTTTATTGTTCATTATTTCAGTAATCCTTCTCTTGGGCGACACAGTTTTGATGGCAGACACAAGTATTCCAAGCACTAGATCAGATCTTGAGAAGCTTAGTGTTATATTTATTCAGGCAGTTCCTGCTTCTCAATAGGAATTTGCCTTAAAAGGACTCACTGTTGATTTTTCAAATGGCTCACCATCTCCAGTGCTAGCAGGCCTGTTTGCATATAAGGCACTCTAGAACTCCATCTCCGGAATTGTTTGGTGAGGAGCTAGGAGGAAATACAGAAGAAAATGATCTTCTTGTCAGGAAAAATACTGAGATATTTGGGAACTTTTGGCGTTCTTTCACTAGAAAGGTAGTGAAATGCAGAATGAACTGAGAACCTTAGTATCAACTGTAAGAAAAATAAAAGCAAACACAGGTTGTTATTTCTGTCAGGACAGAAATTTGTCCATTTATAGCAAGATTCACTGGACTGTGAGACAAGGGAAATTTCTCTGCAGGGAAGAGAAGAAAGATGTCACAGGTAGCTGGACCAGAAAAAGAGCTAGGCTGGACTATGGAATGACAGAATCATGGCCCAACTTTAAAATCCAGAAACCCAAGCAGGTTTTGGCAAAACCTGGGTGTTCTGCAACATTGCGAAACATACTCTTTCATTTGTACACTGATTTTTTAATCTGCATCAGCTGTGAGTTTTGCTGATGCCTTTTCTAAGCTTCTGGAGTGTTTTTGTTGTGCAGATGAGGCTTGAAACCATGATTCTCACTATCCCCAGGAGCCATTTCTCCCAGTGAGCCATGTTGACAAGGCACCACGTGGAAACTTGCACTGCCTCTGTAGACAGTCTCTTCCTGGGGCTGTCCATCTGGTCACTTTTCCAAGTGCTATCTTCACTAAACAGAAAGAGGAAATGAGTTTAAAGATAATGAGGACTAATTATGGACTCCTTATTCAAGCTTCTCTCTAATGAGGCTTCCAGTTTTGGCACTTATTAATAGTGTATGTGTTCCTGCTGGTAGTTTGCAACACATTTAACTTTACTCAGAGGAGTCAGAACAACCTCTGTGGGACTGAGTTCTTGCAGGAAGTGATACTGATGAATGTGGTGAAGAACACTAGACTACTTCTATCTCTGATGAGGTACTTCACATGCTGTCCACCTGCCTCATTTCTTGTTTCTAAGATTGAGTATGTATGAGAAGAAAGCTCATTGTGTCTGGAGTTCTGAGTAGACTACGCTGCTTACTTGTTTGTGAGATTTTTATTCTTTCCTAATTTTTTTAGGCAAGGAAGATTAGTGGATAAACTAGTGCCTTGGGTTTAAAATTCATTATTTAGAAGGAAGTAATGAATGAGGTACTTCACATGCTGTCCACCTGCCTCATTTCTTGTTTCTAAGATTGAGTATGTATGAGAAGAAAGCTCATTGTGTCTGGAGTTCTGAGTAGACTACACTGCTTACTTGTTTGTGAGATTTTTGTTCATTCCTAATTTTTTTAGGCAAGGAAGACTAGTGGATGAACTAGTGCCTTGGGTTTAAAATTCATTACTTAGAAGGAAAAGCATGACATTTTTCAAGCTCTTGAACAGAGATTTAGGCCATGCTGATTGGTCTTTGTTTCACCTTTGCCAGCTTGCTAGCTCATAATTTTGAGTAGAATGAAAAAGTCAAAATGTTTGTCCAGCACTACTTTACATTTTAGCAAATGCTCCTAGTGAAAACATTACCATGTCTGATCTTAGGAATAATATAATGAATGTCTTTGTTATTATAGTAGCTAGGGATCATACAAGTACAAGACAGTCCCTTCTGCTATGAGAAAAGCAGGAAAAGGGTATATTGCTTGACAGTATGAATGGAGGATGATTTTCAGATCCATTAAAAGAAAGGCATTAATACATTGCCAAAAAAAAGGAGGATTCTTAATGCCTCTATTGTTAAGCAACCGTTGTTACCCTGTATAAGCTCTTCTACTCTCTACATTGCTTAAGGAGATGAATTCCATTTTCTTCTGACACTTAATTATAGATTAACCACCATCATCAAAGATCTGGCTTTTCATGTTCTCAACAGATTGTGAAGGGGGAAAAAAATCTGAGATTAGAATAATGAAGTGAACAGCTGAAAGAAATCTCTTTTACGATTAAGGAAAAGGGTTAGCTTCAGTGAAGTGAAGTCAGTGCCTTGTAGTTGCACCCTTTTCCTTCCTAAAGCTGCATGTTTGACTCCCTTAGCTGTTTTCACACTGGTGCCTGTCCAATGCCATGGTGAGCTTGTTCAGGGAACTAGCCTAGAAGAAAATTAATCACTAGTTTTCTGACTTAGATTTCTGTCATATTGGCTTCCAAACTAGCTCACTGAGCATTGGTGATGGTATTAAAGATGGGGCAAGAACATCTGGTTGAGGGGGAGAGGAAAGAAGGTACAGTGCTGTAACAGCAATAACTTAGATCAGCTTAAGTTGTCATGGAGCTATGAGTACAAGTAATGTCTGTAAATCTTATGGGTCAAATAGGGATATTAAATGCAAACTCAAGTCAATCTGTTGCAATGGAAGTAGGAACTATTTTCACCTGAGTTCACAAAAACCAGCTAATCTTCTGTCCTTTATAAGAGTGAAAGGCAACAGTGTTGTTTTGTTCATTTCTTCTGTAAGAAGTGGTAGCACCATGTTTTTAAAAAGAAAAATGTTTCTGTGAAGCAGACTTTATTCTAAAATCCATTTTAAAAAAATATTTTTTCCTTTCCATTGACTAGGACTCAATTACAGGAGAAACTGTGGAGCTTTTAGAGCCTTATTTGGATATGGAGGATTATAATCTTGAGACTGCTAAAAAAGTGTGTGGAAATGTCGCAGGTCTTTGCTCATGGACACAAGCAATGGCTTACTTCTACAGTATTAATAAAGAAGTTCTTCCTCTTAAGGTATTTCATATTACTTGTTTTTCTGAGGGATGACTATAGTTGAGTGGAAAAAATGTCGCGTTATTTTGGCTAAAAAAGATCACGAGTTACAAGAGATTCTTGTTTCTTCACATCCATTTGTGAAGTCAAGCACACAGAGGTTAAATATGTCCTGGCAGTTTTTTCCCCTTCCACAGCTACCCTGTAGTACAGTTGTTACTTGTGTGAACATAGTCACTTTTCAATGGGAGCCTTAGTACACAGGTTCTTTATAGAGCCTGGCTATCTGCAAGTGGGAGATACCAATACTGTCTCTGCTCTCGGACTTGGTGCCAGTCACAATGGTTTCAAGAAAACTCCTCAGTCCTGCTCATTGTGGTCTTGGTAGAATCTGGGAGAGGAGAGACCGTTCTTGGCACAGAAGTATTCTTTAATGAATTTAGCTGGAATTCAGCTTTCCAAAGAAAACTTCGGAGGGTCAAACTGCTACATGTGAGTGTATATACAATAAAGTAAGTAGTCACCTGGCATAGAATTCTGTTGTAACATTGAACTACAGTAGAAAGGGATCAGCTACATTGTCTGCATTCCAACAGATAGCTTTATTGTCTTGGAAATGTTTCATTTATAAGCATATTGAAAAAAAAGGACTTTGAATATTTATATAGTGATTTATAATCATTGCTTCTACAGGGGATTTTATGGCTCTTTTCTGAAGAAATACATTCAATTGGTTATGCTTCCACTGTACTTATGTTCAGTCTCCTATTGTATAAGCCACCGTATCAATGGTATATTCAAAACTCTTGGCATATTCTTTTAGTAAATCTAGACAGATCTGATTCAAATTGTTAAAAGCGTGATATTTTTTATTCAAGTAACTGATAGAGAAGACTATATTTCTGTGATATGTAAGTAGCAATTCCCTTTTCAAATAATGGGATGTTCACTAATGAAAACAGAATTTGAAATGTGGCTATTGAAAGCTATAAAAGAGCAAGACCTAGAGGAAATAGTGGCTTTATATGCAGATGCAACTCTGAAAGCTGCAAAAGTGCTCTTGCAGTTTTTATTTGAATGTATATGACTTAAGATTACGTATAAATTTAACTTTGTATTCAAGTATTCATTCTTGTCACACTGTAGCTGATAAAAAACTGAGCATGGATTTCTTGGCAAAGTGGTGCCTATTGTCAGGTATAGCAACAGTCACAAATATTTTAAAACTGAAGATGACAGAGGGAGGAAGTGTTTAAAGTATGCAGGAGATATTGCAGGAAGCACTGGAGTGATGCTAAGAAAATAATTGAAAATAAATGTACAATTAAACTGCATAAAGTACTAGCACAGGCTAAATCATCCAGTGCTAAAAGCAGTTTTACTGAATGAATTAATCAAGCTGCTTTATCCTAACTGCTGTTCTAGGAGATAAACCTTCAACACCTGCAAAATCCATCCAGTATATTTTTAAATTGCATCTTAACTGAGACTCAGTGCCTCATTTATCTTAAATGTGACAACTTGTGAAAACTAATTAATAGTGACTTACATTTTAGTAAATATAGTGCGCAAAAATTAACTCATTCCTAGAAATGGATACCTACATTCTTTAGATATGTGGCCTGCAGCCTAAGGGTCATTAGTTAGAATCAAACACAGAAAGTATAACCAAATGTTGCCTGCAAATACAATGCTGTGTAGTTGCTTATCATACAGTGGTCACCATGTGTGTGCTACTTTCCTATAAACCTTCAGCACAACCGTGAGCCGTTTCTCTCTAGCTTGTTACCTAGTAAACAAGCCTGCTGGATTAACCTGATATTTCTGAAACACCATCTGCTATTTATCCATTAGTTGAAGAATATAATAGCAGAATGAAGAAGCCCTGACTTTTGCTGTGATTCTGTTAACCTCCAATTAAAATACTGTGTATAGGGGTATAATTTCCTTTAGAGATGTCTCCAGTGATTTTAATTAAGTTCTTATTAGGTTGTTATGATGATCAAGGGAAGTTTGTCTACAGTTTATAAATTCTGCTTGATATTGAGGATTGTCCCTGTTGAACTCAGTTTTAAATATAAGACTTTATTGCCCTTTCTGTTTTCACTTGTCTTGATGCTGAACTAAAAACCATAGCAGGCAATAAGAGGAAATCTTGCACCTGAGGAAGAGGTAACAGTCAAGGAGTGTCAAAATTTGATGGTTGTCCATTTAAATAAGTGTGTCCTTATCAAGGTGATGTCCACTGGGCAGGAAAACAAGCATTCAAGTCTGAATTCAAGGCCCACAGTAACTGTGGAAGGAAAGCATATACTCTGGGGGGCGAAGGGGAGGATTAGGTCACCTAGCAAAACAGATTGAAGTCAGGACATGTAACTGAACTTAGGGACATGGTTTAGTGGGCATGGTGGTGTTGGGTTGATGGTTGGACTCGATGATCTTAGAGGTCTTTTCCAACCTTGATGATTCTATGATTCTATGAACAGAAAAAATGGAGAATCTTTCAGTAGCTAGTAGAGGCTGTGAAAACCAGATAAGAGGAATGATCTCTGTGCCTTTCAAAGGTTGTTTTAATCCCAAAGCATGCTCAGTGATAGCAAAGAAATTGAGACCAAGATTTTATTAATGTCACTCTGCATGGATCTGTTTGCATTTGTACATATGTATATGTGTATAATTTTTTTAGATTGGTGAAGGGAAAACATTGGTTTTGGAATGTCTGCAAAACCTGTGTATGTGTTTGCCTGTCTTATAATGTTTCCCTAAATAACGATGAATTCAAACTTACCATGATATTGAGGCTCTGAGAAAGTTGATACAAAACCAATGGAGTGTCTATGTGAAAAATCTGCAGTGATCTGGAACAGAGGCAGCTTGAGATTGCATTTCCATGAAGAGTTGTCAGTCAGATGCCATGTGCCCAGGCCAGGACTGAAGCAAAAGGCAAAGGTGGTCACCCAGCACATCCACAGAGGCTCATGAGCAGAGTGACAGTGTCCAAGTGCAAGAAGCCTTCTGGCCTGGTCCAGCAGTAGGGAGTGCTCAATGGGCTGTGAGAACAGTGAACTTGGAAAGCTAAAATTCCTGAAACAAGAGAGATGCTAGGAAAGCTCCAAATCTTCCTTACCTGTGGTGAACTATAAAGTTTCAGCTTCTTTTTTTCTTATGGGTTCTCCTATCTCTAGTAACATTTCCTGAATTTACTGAGCAACAGCTGCTCTTCAGAGTGATCTGGGGTTGGCCTAGGCATGCCATTCAAGAGCGGGGATAGCATTAAATGGTGTGATTTTTTTTATTGGAGAAGGCATTTTTATTTAAATGCCTTCTTGGATCAGGGCCAGAAATACTCGGTGCTTTGCAAAATTGAGTTTGCAATGAATCAACGAGAAACTTATGGCTATGTCAATACTAATAAATTAAACAGTACTAGGGAATTTTTCTAGACATTGGAAAGTGATCATCTGCACTGTTAAATTGTTAGAATGATCCCTAGTGTGAATTTGGTCTTGGCTAAGCAGCATTTTCTCAGCAATCTCTGGGCACCTTTCAGGAACTAGCTTGGTCCAAGGGCCATTTCCGTGAGGCTGTTTGCATGCACTGTTTTAGAGGCTGGAAAAGCTTAATGTGAGCTGTTTTATGCTAGTTAACCTCAGTGCCAGAGAAAGGTCCTGGGCATGTTTAATTTAACATGGACTGTAATTACGTGTTTATTTGTTCTGGTTTTATGTGGAATGCAAAAAGTTAAAAGGGGCAGGATCATCTCACCACCTGCTATGAAGTCCTCTCTGAGGGCATCTCGGAAGATGGCAAAATAGCTGCTTAACAATTTAGTCTGTGGCCCTTATTGGCACAGGCACTGTCTCCATACTTGCCCCATGCAGACAGATGCAGAGAGCAGGTAGAGGCACTGGCTGGAGCAGATGTTGAGAGGATTGTCTGTGTGGTTCCCCACAACGCCAATGGCAAGAAAAGGCTGAAGCTGCTGATGTCACGCAAGCCTAGGCATGTTCTAGCGTAGCCCCACCTCTCCAGGAGCGCAGATAAGAGTGTGGATCTCATGTCTCGAATCTTCATGATTCATTCACATAAAATCCATTTATTCAGGCTTTCACATTGCATCCAACTGGAACAAATTGTGAATCCTTGCTTTGCTGCATGACTCGGAGGGATGAAATGAAGGGTGTGAAGCTTGTTCACATAGCAATGCCACTAAAATTAGGAAGGCCACAGTGGTTCTTTGTGGTTGGGAGACACATTTCCTTCCTGCCTGTAACTGGCTGGAAATCTTTGTATGAAGCTGCTTGCGACTGTAATAGCCTTCTTGTGCAGAAGATTCTCCTTGGCAGCAGAACTTGCCTCCTGCTCTCATGGCAAAGTTCTGCACAGGAAGCTGCCAGCCAACCTGCCAGTGATGTCAATAAAAAAGCAGTGTTTGTACCCATGTAATTTTGAAAAATGGAGTTGGAAAGAAGGACAGGGAGAGAGCGAATAGTGATGATTTCATAGGGTAATCTGAAACAAATAGTCTTTCTGCCTTTGGGAATCACATAGGTTGGTCATCCTGGGATGTTAGCAGTCATTCTTGTGCAACCAACCATTATTCATCATATATGATTAAGCAGCCTACAGATCAAACTAATACCAAAATGTATTACTACTTTGTTATGATTACCCTAAAATTGGCTGAAAACTTCGGTTAAATTGTCTGTAAAATAATTTCTTATTATAAGTCATCTTCTAGAGATCCCGTAAAGTCTTGAGTAAATAATTTTGGGTTTTTTTTCATGTTAGAGTACAATATATTTTTTCAGTACTCGTCTGAAATATTTTTTCATTGTCCCTACGTCTTCAAAGCTGGTAGCCTTTTAAGAGCTTTTAAGAACTGGGAGGTCTGTTTTATCAGTCTTTTGCACCTTTCTGGGTAGTTTATTGCTGCACGGAGGTCTGTTTTTCATATTTACACGGCATCATTGTTCATATGTATTGGGAATTCACATGGCCATTCTTTTGCATTGAGACTCACATCCTGCCTTGATAAATGTCAAGGTGAAATATGAATCCACACAGCCAGGTGTCTGTTCTCTGTTATTCCAGCTGTTCTTCCCAGCTCTCCAAGGATCTTGTTCCCTGTGTAATCTCACTATTTGTCAGCTGGGGGTTAAAACAATATGTCATAACTTTATTCTACTCCCATTTTTAGCCCTCACAGAGTTTAAGCATAAGAGGATGCTCTGCACTGGGGAAGGGGGTGCGGGGGTGAGGTAGGAGAGAGAAGGCTGGTGCAGGGCTCTTTCTGGATCTCAGTAAGAAAGGCCTGACAACAGATGGCTTAATAAGGTAACTGCTTTAATAAGACAGAATAATAAGAGGGGTTTACAATAGCTTGAATGACGAAAAGAGAGAGTTTTCTCTCCATGGACAGGATCTGCTCTGCGCAGCATGCCACGGGAAAATCTATCCAGGCTCTGTCTGATGCTGCGTGAATGTGGGGTGCCCAGCATCTGAAGGGATGTAAGATTTACTCACTATCCATGCTCCTCTTCTTATTATGGAACTTTTTAAAGCAGTTATCTTATTAAGCCATTTGTTGTCGGGCCTCTCTTGTTAAGATCCGGAAAGAGCCCTGCACTCTCGCTCTTTCTCCCTTACCTCACCCTCTCCACCTCTCCCCCGGGGCAGGACACGGTAACACTGCATCACCTACTCAAAACTCTACTCTTTAAACTTTTCCTTATAGTCCAAGATTCACTAAAAAATAATAGCAGTGATTCTGAAATCTGCTTAGCTGAGTCTTAACAAGACTCACTGATTTAACAACGTTTATCTCTAGGAGATGCTGTTCAATGTGTTCTTTGATAAACAGTGGAGTAAAAATATTTCAGCATTCTTATAGGATGGAAATTTTATGAACGGCCATTTTGCTGGCTTATCTCCATTATAAAATATTTGTTTATCTCTAGGATCTGTCAACAGACACAGTGGCTACAGTAAACGAATTTTTTGCTGACAGTGCTGTTCTCTAGATGTGTAACTCGTAAAGCAGTACTACTTTGTTGATTAGTACATATATGCTTCTCTAATTCCCTGGTCACAGACCTATCTTTTGAAATCCACCAGACTTCATGCTGCATTTTTTATCATGCCTAGATCTCAAAATGTGATCTTGGCTCCTCTTTTTTTTTTTTTTTTCCCCTATGCAAAGCAAGAAGAATTTGCTGATTTTAGCATATTTTGATAAGAGTTAAATCTACATTTTTAGTCAAGACCTGATGTAAAAACCCAACCCATGGTTATACTGTTCACTAAGAGTCATCCCAGAGATTCCTTGTACTGTTACTCTTCTGGTGTGATGTAATGTGAGTGTCAAGTTTCATATTTGTAATAAAACAGTTTTTACAGATTCTTGGTTTCCATCTTCATAACTCTTATAGCAGAAAAGATAGAAATAAGGTACATAATATTTAAACACGTGTTTTAAATATTCAGGGTAAATGGAAGCAACCTTTATCTGTTAGCATGAATTTCATAAGAAATTTGTCAGTCTCTAATCCTTTGCAAACATATATTTGGAAACACATGCTGAATTCACAGAATACTTCCCCCCCTCCCCTGTTAGGAGTATACAAGTTAAGAGGCCACATTTAAATGACTGGCAACTCATCATTCAAATTTATATAGAGGTGTGAGAAAAGTCTCTAGAGTTTTCATTTCCAGAGGAGCAAAAAATGCTTTGGTTATATTTTTATTGTAGAAGTAATTGATGGGAAAAGAGAGCAGAAAAGTAGTTTCTGTTATCATTATTATTATTTTATAATCCATGAGAACAATCTTAGTTTTCTTTTGCACTTTTGAATATATTACAGAAAACATTGTGTGGGTTGCCTCATATATCTAGTATACAGCTATTTCAAGTGTATTGTGATTTCAAGTCATTGATCATTGTTTGATCGATAGATCATTCTGAAAATATTATTAAAACATTTTAAGATTGCATTGAATAATGCTATGCTTCTGTTCCAGTTCTAGGTTGAAAAGTAAAAAAGGAAAAAACCTGTTGTCATCTTAAACGTGTATTATATTTTAAAAAGTACCCAATACAGTACAATATGTGCCATTAAATGAATGTCATTTGCTCTTGGCAAATAATAGGTATTAAATACTCTTTACTTTTAAATGTTTATAGGCAAATTTAGCCTTGCAAGAGGGAAGACTTGCAGCTGCCCAAACAGAACTGAATAATGCACAAATTCAGCTGGATGAGAAGCAAATGGAACTGGATCAAGTACAAGCCATGTATGATACTGCTATGAAAGAGAAGCAGGCCTTACTTGATGATGCTGAGGCATGCAGAAGGAAGATGAACAATGCCACAGCTTTGATTGAAGGATTACGTGGAGAAAAGGTACTAGCACATATGAGTAGGTTTCCAACACAAAGTAGGTGCTCAGTTTTGAGAATACTCCATAATGATCATTAGTAGTGCTCAAGAAATTCAAGGCATGGTGACATCTCAATATCATATGACACTTTTTTAGTTATATGTATGTTTTTTGCTTGAACTTAATGTATCTAACAAAGTAAAACAATTTCTTGTGTTAACTTAATTCTTCTATGAAGATTTATGTCATATCATATGGCTCATATTGGGATAAAGTTCAGATTTAAAGCCAAGGAGCCAAATTCCTTTTAGCTTTAGTAAGAAGAGGAATTAGGCTTAACCTAAATAATTGCCCTAAAATATTTATAAGAAGGATTACTCTCTTTTTCTCACCAAGTATACAAGAATAGGAATTTGAAGCTTGAATAATTTCCTGAATTATATTTGAAGTTCAGATTTCTGCTGGAGCCTTTTACAGAACTATGGCCTAATCGTTATCCTCTGCACTGAGCGTGAAAATTACCTTTCCTATGCAGATTTTTCTGGCTTCAGCCTGAAGGTTTCTAGAGGAAACAGGATATTCTTTTTTCTCATCTGATTATTTGCTTTGATAATTCCTTGGTTGATTTCACACAGAGTCAAAATTGATGAGAGCTTTGACTTCAACCATTGCGTCCTGTTAGGCCAGGACTTCAGCATTTGTTTGCATAGCTGTACTTCAAAATATATCAGCCAAAAATGTTAGAAGCTTTATCATATTTTTCCATGAACTTCTAAATTTAAGAGCAACACCAAAATAGGAAGTTACAGTGCCTGATTGTGGGTTTTCTGAAGCCTTGTGCTATGAGGTCTTGTAAGAGCTGTTATTCCATTCTACTTTTGAAAACTCAGACAAAAGATTAGAAGACTATATATGGCACTTGGAACCTTGGGCAAAACTGACACTGGGTTAAATGTGTATTTTCTAAATTTAAAACATGTAGGTCCTGACCAAGATTGCATGCAGAGTGATTGGAAGGGAACAGAAATCTGGAGAGAAAGGAATAAGTAAAACTCAAACATAATATTCAGAAAATCACAGAATCATGGAATAATTGAGATTGGAAGGGACCTCTGGAGATCATCTAATCCAACCCCCCCCGACTCAAAGCAAGGTCAAATAGAGCAGGTTGCTCAGGGCATTGTCCAGTTGGGTTTTGAATATCTCCAGAGACGGAAACTCCACAACCTCTCTTGGCAACCTATTCCAGTCCTTGGCTACTCTCACAGTAAAAACATTTTTTTGTGTGTTTAATTGGAATTTCTTGTATTTCAACTTGTGCCCATTGCCCCTTGCCCTTTCACTGGGTACCACTGAAAAGAGTCTGGCACCATCATCTTTACACCCTCCTGTCAGGTATTTGTACACGTTGATAAAATTCCCCCGAGCTGTCTGTTCTCAAGGCTAAATGATCTCAATTCTCTCAGTCAAGGCTGCCCCTGACCTTTGCATCCCTGACCAGTTATTTCTTTTTTGCAAGTCTGAGGTTCAGCAAACTGCCTTCCCTCATTAGATCCTCAGTTACCTGTGCCAAGAATTTTTCGTCAGTGCACTCCTTAAAATGTCCTGGATTGCTTGTGTCCTGGATTGCTTGTGTCTTGCTGTGTTGTCCCTCCAGAAGATATCAGAGTGGTTAAAGTCCCCTGTGTAGACCAGGGCCTGTGAATGCAAGGTTTCTTCCCATTGTCTGAAAAAGACCTCATCTTCTTCCTGATCACGTTGTCTGTAACAGACACGCACAACATCACCCGTGTTGGTCTGCCCTCTCATCCTAACCAATAAGCTCTCAACTGGCTCATTGTCCATCCCAGAGTCTCAGATGCAGAGCTCCACACGTTCCAGCTACTCTCTCACATAGAAGAAAACTCCCCTCCTCACCTTCCCAGCCTGTCCTTCCTAACAAGCCTGTACACACCTGTTGCAACACTCCAGTTGTGGAAGCCTTCCCACCATGTCCACATGATCCCCATGAGATCATGACTTTGCAACCACATGCAGACCTCTAATTCCTTGTTTGTTCTCCACGCTGTGCACATTAGTGCACAAGCGCTTCAGAGAGGTGCCCAGCTGTGCTAGTTTCCCAGAAACAGTATGAAAGCTATCCATCCCCATCGTTCTGTCTGGTAGGCACTTCTTTGTTTATGCTTGGGGTGGTCCTCCATTAGCCCTGTTTTATTGATTACAAGGTCCCTACTCTTTATATCATCCTATGTGTTTTGTTTGCCAACCTGGTCCTCCACTTCCTCACATCCTGTCCCTCCCACTTTGTTCCTCCTTTGAAACACTTCTTACCATTTTGGCCAGCTTGTTGGCAAAGATGCTTTTTCTTCACTTGGTCAGGTGGTTGCCATCTCTTCCAAGCAAACTCCTGCTTCTGAAAAGAAGGATTTAAAGCCAAACAATTATTTACCAGAAAGAGATAAATTCTTAAGTTAGATCTTAATGTTGGTTTTGTGCCTGCTTAATCTAACTTCTTTATAATATTTTACATACAGCTTCGTTGGACAGCAAGCAGCAAAAACTTTCAAAATCAAATTATTCATTTAGTGGGGAATGTTCTTCTGGCCACTGGATTTCTCTCTTACTCTGGACCTTTCAATCAAGAGTACAGGAATTTGCTGCTTCAATTGTGGAAGAAAGAGATGGACAACAGCAAGATTCCATACAGTAATGTAAGTGTTCACACTCTGTCCTGACCTTACTCTTTGTCTTGCAGAGAAATAATTTCAGAGCATTCTGTTCCAGAAAAGTACATAATTGGAAGATTATTTACAGGCTGTCACATTCCATCAAATTTTTAATAAATAAAAAATCTGAACAGTTGACAACTGAGCTTCTAAAAAAAAGTGTTTGAAGATTCTCTTTGTACCGTCATGCATTGCAAGATTGGTATATAGGCCATCGCTCCGGCAAGTCTGAGAGAGAGAGAGACTGTCTGAGGTCAGCTGCCTGGGAGAAAATTGCATAATGTGAGAAACGAAGTAAAATTTACCAGCTTAGAATACATTTACCTTATCATAAGGGGTTCGGTTCCATCAGGTAGTCACAGTTTTCCCCCATAGTTGGTGTTTTTTTGCAAATGCCATATTGTGTCCATAATTTCAGTCACAGGGTCAAGCAAATCAGCCACATCAAGCATTTACTGGAAGTGGAAAATATGTATATTGAAGAAAACACCAGTTCTAACTGTCTCCCTCAACATTTTAAGGTATCCCCTTACAAGGAATAACTTGTGAATATGTGGTTGAGAATACCACCCCACATCTGGTATTGTTGTACCCCTATAGTTTTCCAGGCGGTCTCTGAAGCAGCAGCTCCCAAATTAGGCCCACAGGATGGCGCAGAGTGGGGGAGATTGGTCTGTTGCTTCTGAGTTGGGTGGGAGTTATGCCCCAACCAACTTCCAGGGACCCAGCAAGATTTACCCTATTTCCACTTTTACCACCTACAGTCTTGTGTGCTGCCACTAAAAATCTTCTCTCTCTGTAGATATCCACTTTTCACTCTGAACTGTACATCTAGAATATAAAGGGTGAATTTGGGTGAAAGGTTTTTCATACATTTTGTACTTCTGACATATTACATCATAAATTCTTAAACCTACTATTCTTAATATATTAAATTTTGAACAAAACAAACTAGTCTAGGAATAAAAATTTCCATTATTTTCATTTAGGATTGCTTAAGTACAAGATTTTAATAATCTAGATTTGCTAGAAAATATCTGTAAAATGGAACTAAACAGTTTTTCCTTTCTAAAGCTTTACACTTTTATTCTTAGTGTAGCTTGATTAATTCTTGAATGACGTAAAAATACTCTTACACCCAATTATAGAAAAGACCATTGCACATTTTGAACCAGGAAATATCGCTTCTGCACCTCTGTGTATTATCAATTAATACCCTCCTATCATACCCTCTGCTGTGTACCCACACCATTTAATTTAGTTTAATTTGAAGTGTCTTGTTGAAAAGATTAAGTTAAACAAAATCTGGATTTTGTAAAACTTGGTTTACGCCACTTCAGCTTGCTCCAGTCTAAGCTCTTAAATCTATGTACGTTTGTCACCAGTGAGGCTGTTCTCAGTGAGTCTGACATTACAGCTTCTCCTCAAGTGGCCTAAGTCTGTGCAGGCAGAGGTGGCCTAAAATGCAGCGGAACTACGGTTCCATCATGCAGCTTCAGTTCCCTGCCACATCATATACTACCTTTATTAAAGTGAGCAACCTCCATGCTGGGACTATGATACAGGGCAGGTTCCTTTACATGAATCTTGTTCTTTCCTTTTACCACTATCTGCCTCAGGAGTGCTGGACCTGGCAGCTGTTCTGGTGCATAGGCTTTGCTCGTGGTCAGCAGCAGCCTTGTTCCTATTCCATCACTTTTAGGAGATCTGTCTACTATTCTTCCTTGCACCTGGAAGACCTATTCATGCTGAAGGAAGGCAGAATTTAGGCCATAATAATCAAAACTGCCTTTCTGAGTAATCTGTCCACGTTGCCTTCCACTTGGTTTTGTGAATACCTGAGTACGTTTTCTCCAGCAGTAAAGGTTGGAGAAATAGTTCAGGGAGCCTCTCTTACTCTCAGTACAGGAGTGGAGGCGTTAAGCCCAAATGGCTCCTGTCCTCAGCTGTCAAACCTTTTGACAGAGCAGGTGCTGCTGGAGGGTGCTGGGAGCAAGTGAACGACCTGTGCACAGCTGTGGCTGTACTACTGTGAAACAGCTGAAGGCATTTTAGTATCCCTGCTGCATCTTCTTTTCAGGTTCTTGGGGGATTTGACACTTAAAACCTATATTAGGGAGACCTCTTTGCACGAGAGGTTTGCCATGCAGTTCATTGCATAGAAGTTATTCGTGAATCTTTTTTTTTTTCTCGTTAGGTGGTGCATAATGCTTCTCGTAACAGTGATTAAAGTTGACCTGACAGAGTGAACCTCACAGCCCAGCCCAATTTATGCTGTGACTTACAAAGATGAATGATTCTGACTTGCCCAGCAAAGTTCTTTGAAAGCTCCTGATGATGAGTAATATGTAAGGCCAGGATGGATTTATTAATAAAGTACCAGTAGCAGTGCAGTCTCAGGCAAGATTCTTTACCAGTGTGGTATGGGAGTTATCCTACATACATTCATGCCAGGGAGGTGCTCTTTCAAATTCAGTGTGAAAAATGTTCTTAAAAAGCTACTTACCTTGGGGAATATCTGTCAAGATTCTTACCATTTAAGGATAAGAACTTGGATGTATAATGTCCTTAGAAAGCAAGACACAAAGAACTAAAATTCTGCTTCTATGAAGATGTTCAGGCCACATTACTACTCAGCTGCATCCTTCAAAATTTGAGTAATACTTTTTGATTGTTTCTGTGTTGCCTTTTTTTTTTTTTCATATAGACAGAGTAGGCACAGAATGCCATAATTAACGAGTTTTAAACCATAATTACCATTCTGTTTAGATAGCTGCCATTAAAGACAGGATTATGATTTCAATGATAGTGTATGGAAGAGAGTTTTAATTTTTTCCAGTGAATTAAGTACTCACAAAAGACAGCATATGGGCTTCTCTTGATACTTCACACTACAGGAAAGAAAGCAGCTTTGCAGTTCAAGCAAAAGTCTTGACATCTGCCTTACTTTGTCACAGACTAACTGGCTGTGGGTGTATGAGTCATTTAAGCATAACAATTTAAAGAGAGCTGTTGAAAATTAGCTATCTATCTGTGTAGTTAGGCACTTAAATTAGCTAAGTTTCAGAGTTGCATAGCGACTGATACTTCCTGCTGCAGTAAGAAAAAACTACTACTAAGAGACCCTACTCATCTGCTTAAGCAGCTAAATATAGTTTTAGGTTCCAATTGCTGAAAATTTTGGCTATTAAATGCTTTACTGTTCTTTTCACAAATGGAAATTGGATTCTTAAAGTTTCTCTGTCTTCTGAGAATGGTTTGTGTTGCTTCATTCAGATTCTTCAATAATCAGAGTAGTAAAAAAATCAAAGGGGTAAAAAAGCTTTTGAGTCTTGCAACCGCTGGTATCACTAACTCTCATGATTGTATCACAAGTCTCACAGTCTTTGAAATTTTGCTTTAGGCTTCATATGCTGAATTATGTGATTTTTGCAGGAGTCGCAGGCTTTTTCTTTCTTTTTAAACATGTTTTTTGTAGAGAAAGCTTACAAATAGGAATTCTTGAGTGAAAAATGTAAGGAGCAAATAAAAAAGAAAACCCTTCAATTTTATTCTTTTTAAACTCACATCATTATTAGGCTACTTTTCTAATTTGGAGAGCTTGGTTTGTGATTTTAAGCACTGTTTTCTTCACATACACATTCTTGAGAGGCCAGTCACTGTTCATAGTGAATAAAATAAATCAGGTTAGTTGGCGTGTGCAAATCAAACTGTAGGAGAATATATGAGCTGGGAAGAATTCTGACCGTAGCAACAATAACTTTCTATAATAGTTCATGATTATTGATCCATAGCACATCTCGTCTTTCTTCTCTGAGTCTCCCACAAACCATCCTGTATTCATATACATACTTGGAGGGCACTTTACAACTTTACAGCAGGAGGAAGCTCTTGTGACCAAGACGATCCTTCCTCTTGATCTAGCAAGAGAAGAGTTTGCCAATACCAAAATCAGCTTGTCATATTGAACTGGCTTCAGAGTTTCTCCGACACACTTTGATGGACATCAAAGCCTCAACAGAATTCACTGTCATTATTGCCCAACTTCAGTGATTTAGGCACTGAACTTTAAAGAAATGAAACAATAAACAATAACTACCAAATACATTCTGTCATGCATTATGATCAGAATAAGAAGAAAAACCTTCCATCAAACATTTTAGTATAACTCCTCTAACTGGTACTAATTTAGTAATTACATATTTTCTATTAGGACCTGAACCTTACTGGTATGCTTGTTGACAATGCTACAGTGGGTGAATGGAATCTCCAGGGTCTTCCGAACGATGACCTTTCAATTCAGAATGGCATCATTGTCACAAAAGCATCTAGATATCCTTTGCTGATTGATCCGCAAGGTCAAGGAAAGATCTGGATTAAAAATAAGGAAAAGAATAATGGACTCCAGGTAAATAGTTTAGTATTTTTTATGTCTGTGTCATTTCACATCATAGTTAGCAATGCAAGCTATTTTTTCTGTTATCATACTTTGGCCATGTGTAATTTAAATCTGATGTTTATTGTATACAGTTAGGCAGAAATTAAAACGACTGACGCAAAATCTATGACCTATCTGTATCTGGGTGAAATAGCTTGTACTGCTTTGTCATCTCCCAGAAAGACAGTTTCAAGAGCAGATTGGAATTATATGTTATGTCATATGTATTTTTATGATGAATCTTTTAATTATTTGTCATAGAGAAAGAGAAACATAAAGGGAAGTAACTGACTTGCAAAATTAAGACCAGACAGGATCAGGCAGTTGGTGCTGCATGGCAATAACATTTTAGGGTAAGCATTTTAAGGGGAAAATAGGGAAAAGAAAAAGGGAGGAACTGGAAAAAGAATGGTGGCCTGAGGTAGAATGGAAGTCTAGTGATCTTTGAGGCATATCAAACACAAAGCCCAAATTTAGGCTGCATGTTGATGATTAAATGCATTTGATAAAAATACTCTCAAAACTTACACGGCTTTGAATACACACAGATGCAGCCTCTAAATGCAGAGGAAGCTTTCCTGATGAAAATTCAGTCAGTTATGGGCTTTTAGACATCCTGGCTCAGGTGTCAGCTGTGTTAGAAGAATCTGAGTTCTCCCCCTGTAAAGTCCAGGAGGAACAGAGTTATGTCAAGTGTTTAGATTATGCCTTTGCATCTGGGATATTGTAATTTGCTATGGTCTTGTTAGGGTTATATTGTTGGTCACTAAGACACTAGCTTCATCCCTCAGTTTCATGCGGATTAAAAATGTAGGAACATGCTGGTTTGGTGGATACACATATGCTTACATTATAACAAAGCTAAAAGTGCAGAGTGGTGGAACACAGTATTAATTTTTAAATAAAATACTGTTTTAAGACTGTAATGTGCCTCTAGATATTTTAATCATACCTTTTTCAAAGAGCACTGTCTGCAAGACAAGGATTTATTTTAAAAACATGTGTATCCTGAGTTTTTTTCTGGTAAAAAACGCAGCCCAAAACCATGGCTAAACAGATGCCTGGAGACGCTATTCAATTATCATCTCAAAGGCTTATGTTAAATTTATTAAATTTAAATAAATGAAAAGGAGTCTATGTGATTTTTAGCAATTTTAAGCCTTTATATTGTGAAATGGGAACTGAATTGGAAATTTAACATCTGATGTGAGACCAGGCCTCCTATGTAACACTGGTTCCCTGTCTGAACCCTATAAATGTTTCCCTACTTCACATTAGTGTTCTGAGCATAAATCCATTAATATTTAAAAGGTATTAAGATACTACAGTGATTAGATAGATATGTAGATAAGTAAATAAATAGATAACAATAAAGAAGTGTGATCTTCTATTCTGTTAAGCTTAAAGGAAAACTTCCATTCATTTCAGCAGAGGTGAGTGTTGGTCCCTAAAATGTAATCATTTGTGTAGATATCCCAGAATAAGTGTAATTTTTGAAAGTTGCAATAGATTTTATACTGTTTTCTATGTGCTTGCAAATGCATGCTAAATTGTGAACCAATCTTCCTAGGTTACAGCTATGAACCACAAGTTCTTCAGAAGTCATATAGAAGACTGCCTGTCCCTTGGCCGACCTTTGTTAATTGAAGATGTTGGAGAGGAACTTGATCCTGCTTTAGATAACATCTTGGAAAAAAATTTCATAAAATCTGGTTCAGCACACAAAGTAAGATGAATTGTGAACATGAAATTAAAAACCAGTAGGACAGATGCTGGGTATCTGGTAGTCTGGATACTGCCGAGATTCCCACCTTTGCAACACTTAGAAGGATGAGTAGTGAACTCATGGGGTTGGTTTTTTTTTACCCCTTAAGCAGAAAGTTTAAAAAGTGTAAATGAAAATGTAAAAAAAGAGTTCATTTATTTTTCACTGGATAAAGTAACTGTTTTTCTGAATTCAGCTTTTGAAAATTGAGTAGTATGTTTTATTTTCAGGTGAAAGTAGGTGACAAGGAGGTAGATCTGATGAAGGGGTTTAGCCTTTATATGACAACAAAATTGGCTAATCCTGCCTATACTCCAGAAATCAGTGCAAGAACAACTGTGATTGACTTTACTGTTACTATGAAAGGGCTGGAAGATCAGCTCCTTGGCCGTGTCATCCTCACAGAGAAACAGGTATCTAGTAGCTTGCAGTATTTGTATAGAGGGAAGGCTTGTTCAATATCTGCACCATGAGTGGATATATTCAATGTCTTGGTTGAAATCAAATGCAAGAACAAAAATGTGAATGAAAGTTTAGGGGTTTGTGCATTTGCTGAAAGGCAATGTGGAGCTAGTTTTTAATTGAATGGAGGGACCTAAACATTTATTTTAAGATCTGGCCTTGGAAAGAGAAAAAAGAAAATTATTCATTAAAAATACATCACAAGCATATACATGACATACATAAAGCGTCTTTATTCCTTCATATATAGAAAAGGCTCCTTATTCAGTCAGAAACCTCTTTTATTTCTGAATTCCTTTTTAAACTTAATTTGAATTACATGAAAAAATGCTTATGAACTCAAACTACTTTTGCCAGCCAGGCTCTAGTGTGCAAAGAGATACGAGATTTTTAAGGAGCCCTGAACACTGACTTGACTCTGCTCTTACTAAAATTTCCATTGAATATGTGGAAGCAAATATAAAGAAGAAAATCCTCAGGTGTTTTTTGTGAGTTTTATTTCATAATATCAAATCTGAGACATCATCCACAATAATTTAATTCCTACACTGTTCCTATTTCTTTTTGTGTGATCTAATTTAACAGTGTGGTTATCCAAAAACTTAGGAGTCAATTCATCATAGGCACTGGGGACAAGGGTGGGTTTTTTACTGTGGCAGTCATACCAATAAATACATAAATGTTATGGTCCAATTACACTAAAATGAAATATTTGCTTCCTTTCTCATTAAAGTGAAAGCACAGAAGTTGTATTTCACATCAAGTTGAAAGACTTATTTATTTCAAATGGAACATTTCATAATTGTGTCTTTGTGAGAAAAGTAACAAAGACTAAGGTTTGGATTAGCAGAGTTGCTGCTTTCAGTAACTCAGGTAGCCTTACTCATGTGAGAGCAGTTCCCCACCTAAGGGAATTCATTCCTTCTTCTTCAACTTCCCAAAGCATGTTCTAACCAGTGCGATTTAGTGGTGCTGTCACTTTCTCCAGCCAACACCTTTCCACTTTGCTCAAATGAGCATTTGCTGAAGTAAGGACTGGAATCTAAGTGCCCTTCCTTCAGTCTGAGAGTCACAACCAGAGGCTAGAAAGTTATTGTTATGCCCAAACTTCCTGTGAAGTATGTTTATGTAAGCAAAATTGAACAGCATCAGCAGAAGTGGCTGGGACTATCCTGACTGACTAACTTACTTCTGATGGGAGGCAGAGGTTTAAATCAAGATAGGAGTGAAATTGGTTTCTCATGACCTACATATAAAACTCATCTCCCCACACACAGATACCCTCACTCTGTGGTTTTTTTTCCTGGACAAAACTGTTAGAGAATTCATATTGAGTGTATGTAGCAACACGTAGACTGCATTTTGGGTCAAAACCATAGGCACTGAAAAATATTCATCCAGTGCTGTGTATCAGCTGAAGAGAGCTGCAAGGGTAGCTGGTTAGTGTCAGCACTACTTGCTGCACAGGGACATGGCCGCAGGTGATCAACATTTATTAAACTTTTTCCCGTTAGCAGATATGAAGAAATCATGGCTGTTTTGTCTCTTCTGTCTCAATAAGAGATGAATGTCCTGGTGTAGATAGCCAGAGCCAATGGAGCTCTGATAAATTTAGTTCAAAGAAAAGATAGAGCATGAACAGAGAATCTGAAGAACAGGTTTTCTGTTACAAAGAAGACAAGTTTATGATCACTGAGCTAAAGTAATAGATTAAAGAAACCAAGACATTCTTAAAGATTGCTAGTGATCAATGAAATATATGATCAAAGAAGTGTTTATTCTTCTCAGCTTTAAAGGTTGCTTCCGTAACGATATGAAAAAAAAATTTTTATCAGTATCTTTTTGTGCTTTGATAATGAAGTTGCTGCCACTATATTTGTTCAGAACAGCTATTTTTTATGTTACGAATGCAGTCGTGAAATCCTCTTGCAAACAAAAGCCTGGCATCTGGTATGTTTGCTATTTTTCTGAAAGATATTCTTTACAAGCTTACAAATAGAATGGGCGAGGTGCCTGTTCTTAAACTAAGTATGTCCTTAAGTAGAATTTAAGCATGCACTTAAATGCCTGTTTGAGTGTTCTGTAGAACTATTCCTTTTGTGTAATTCTAATCTTTTTTGCATTAATGTAAAGGAAGAGGAGAAAATACAGAAAATTTGAAGCTAAATGACTGATGCTTAAGTCATTGTCCTTTTTTTGGATGCAGTTATTTGTAACTTCCACAGAGCTACATTCTATAGCCCTACAACATATTACAAACAGGTTTCCAAATAAGAAGTTTGTGAGGGTAAAGAAAATTGTCACTTCTTCTTTGAAATACAGGAGAGCCTCTCCTGTACTGCATAACTCTGTACATCTCCTTTTTCTCTAACTTCGCATATTGACAAGAATGAAAATAAACTGAAGCTGTAGGTGTAGGTAGACTGGAAATATTAACTACCCTTTTTTTACAGGAAGGTTGACTTGATTGATTAAATAAAGGTAGCCAGCAAGGGTATCCCTGAGCTGTGCTGGACTGTGCAGTATAGATGCCTCATTTCACTTGGCATTGTGCTGACTTGTCTGTCATAGTTCCCTTGCCATTGTCTGTCTTGTAGAAATAGCATAAAAATTCCATATGACATAGATTAATAATTGTAACGTTTCCTATTTTATAAGCAGTAGAAGAGTGTATCTTGCGAAGTCACAGAATCATAGAAATTAGAAATGGAAAAGGTCATCCAGTCAACTTCCCTAACAATGTAAAATCTGTCCATACAATGCATCTTTCAGTCCTTTGTCTGATTTAATTTTAAGTACTTAATGTAACATGGCTTTTACCACTTCCCATTGGAAACTAACTTTAGTGCTTTGTGCGTCTTACTATGAGGAAGCTTTTCCTGGTAATTCTGATGTGTTTTCACTCCTCAGTATGCTGCATTAATTAAATAAACGCAGTATACATAAGTATTTTATAGAAAAAGCAGCAAAGCCTCCAATCTATCATGCATGAAATCACATGTTTTCTGTGTCATTTTAAGGAATCTTTCTTTGAATTGATCTTAAATATTCTAAGGAAAATTTCTAAATACAGGAACTGGAGGCAGAAAGAGTCAAACTGATGGAAGAAGTGACATCTAACAAGAGGAAAATGCAGGAGCTTGAAGATAATCTACTCTTCCGTCTAACTAGTACGGAGGGCTCTTTGGTTGAAGATGAGTCTCTGATAGAAGTCCTGAGAATCACTAAAACAACAGCAGAAGAGGTGAATTTTGAATGCATTGCAAATACATTCTCTAATTGTAATTCAAATATTATTTGTAGACAGATTGTTTTTCTGGTTTTGTTTTTTCCATTCAGAGCCACTATATAACATCTGACTTCTTAACAAATAAATAGTAGAAACACTATCATTTTTTCTTCATAAAATGTTGAAAAATTAAACTGTTACCTGGATACTGCTTTATATTCCAGGCATACTTTGCAGGTGTAAATTTGAACCAAATCCCATTGTGCTTGGTGTTTGAACACATGAAGACACAATGTCTGTGTTGAAACACTGACAGAGGGAAGCAAAGCTTTACTAAAAATACCATTTTGATCTTAATCAAGACCTTTTCTTTTTGCTTGTGCAGTATAAATCACAAGTGACATGATTTAATCTTCATGGTCTTTTCCATTAATTTTAAGGTCAGTGAAAAATTAAACATAGCAGCGGAGACAGAGGTGAAAATCAATACTGCACGTGAAGAGTATCGGCCTGTTGCTGGTCGTGGTAGCATCCTTTATTTCCTAATTGTGGAAATGAGCTTAGTTAATGTCATGTACCAAACATCCTTACGGCAGTTCCTTGGCATTTTTGACCTATCAGTGGAAAGATCTCGGAAATCTCAGATCACAGCAAAAAGGATAGCATATGTAATCGAGCATCTCACCTATGAAGTCTTCAAGTACACAGTTCGAGGGCTGTATGAAAATCACAGATTCCTGTTTACATTGCTTCTGGCACTGAAGATTGACTTGCAGGCCAAGAAGATTTCACACACAGAGTTTGAGACACTGGTCAAAGGTAATTTCTCTAAAAATGTTCCTGTTCACATAAGTCTGTGAACTGCCAAATTCAGATTTTGCAGTGCTTGCACTAACAATATGTTGTATCTAGTGGATCTAATGTTTTTTAACTCTTGAATGAAAGCATATATAGCCCAAGAAGAAATTAAGAGACAAATTTTCCAAAACAAGAACAATATAGATTATTATCAAAATAATGCTTAGATGAGGGTATTTAACTGTTTTACATTGCAAAACAGAAAAAAATGTCCATTACTTTGTAAGAGACCCTATAGTTTTCTCCTGTGTGCCTCTTTTTTGAGTTGCCACATACCTATGTCTGTGAGCTTGGAGACAGGCAGCAAAATCCCTTTTGGTGGCTGGTGAGCAGGTATGTGAATGCATGAGGACTCTGTACCACATTTAAGTGTCAGTACAAAAAAAGTGGAAATCTGTTGCATGTTATAAAACATCGCATTATGCCACCACTGCATGTCGCTACTCAGACACAATGACAAAGAAAAATTTTAGTAAAGTTTATAAAATTTGATGGGGGTGGACCCCACTGTCTCCAAGATATGATAAGTACAATCAGGTACCAAGATAAGATAAGTACAGTCGGGTACTTGCCATTCAAATATCTCAGTTTGCTTTGCAAACACCGATTTAATGTTCAGCTGTGACTCAGCTGTGTTGGAGGTGCAAATGGTCATGACGCTGGAGTGGTGGTTAAGCTAAGAGGCTGTTGAAGTTGCAGGGTTCTGGAAATGAATGCACCATGTGGTTTCGTATTCTGTCGTCTAGGTGAAGGGGGATTGGACTAGCCATAGGTCCTTTCTACATCTCGTATGAAGACTTGCATTTGAGTATCCTTTTAGGTAGGCAAGTTTTGTTCCAGCTCTACAAATGGAGAAAAAGCAGCACAAAAATTACTGGAATATCAGATTTGGGAGGCACTGAGAGCACTTCCCCAATAGGTCTTTGTTAAATGACTCTTCCATGCAAATTCTAGGTCTCCATGTCCTGGTTTACAAAGATTTTTACTCCCTAAATTAGAAAAATAAATATTTTTTATTACTTGTCATTTTTCTGTTTAACAATGGTTGTTTTCCTCTATACTGCTTTTCACTTTGCAGGAGGTGCCAGTTTGGATCTGAATTCTGTGGAACCAAAACCAAAAAAGTGGATCCTTGACATGACATGGCTCAATCTTGTGCAGTTATCTAGCTTGTACCCTTTTAATCAACTTCTGATGCAAGTTGTTAGGAATGAGAAGTCTTGGAAAGCTTGGTTTGATGAAGAAGCACCTGAAAAAGCTGTTATTCCTGATGGGTATGACAGCTTACTGGATCAATTCCGTAAACTGCTCCTTGTCCGTAGCTGGTGCCCTGATCATACCGTTGCCCAAGTAAGATATGCCTTTGTACAATGGTTATGCCACGTGGCATCTCCTGTAGAACTGCTAGTTCCAAACTTATGTTCTCTGAATTTGTTTTTATCGTAATATTTGTTGCGGAGTGAGCTATTTTGAAAATCGGATATTGAAATCCTTGTAATAAATATATGTGAAAGAAATATTAATTTATTTAATTACAATGAATTAGAAAGGGCATTGCAAAACATGAAGTAAATTGCGTTGGAGCTGTAAGAATACCATTCTTTTTGTGTGGCGCTTCTAAAGTGGAGTCATGAAACTTGTAAAGCAGTTGCATTCTTCCGGTGAATCAGAAGATACATACCTATTTTTTCACAGAAGTGGAAAGAGAACAGTTCACTTTGATGAAAGGTGCACTAAAATAGCAGATAAGCTGTTTACTTACCCTCCATGCTGAGGAAGTAATAATTAAGACTCTCTCGTGGCAGATATCATAAAAGAAACTGCAATAGACTAGCAGTTTCTCCACAGTCTGTGATATTTGGATTTTTCTTCTCTATGTAGGTCTGTAAGAGATGTATATGAGTACCCTCTATGATGCCTATGAGTATCCTCTTTTCACTTTTTTTGTCTTTAGCTACACTGAAAAGTAGTACTTCTGATTTGCTGCATATCTCAACTTTACATGTTACATGTTGTGATAGCATCTGTGTTGTATTTGGGGGACACCATTTTTTCATGGACCTCTTTTTCAACAAGACCCTTTCCATCCTTTTTCCTTTTCTTCTCTTCAGCTGGTAAGTGAGAGAGAAGTATGGGAGCTCCATCTGTCACAATTTAAACAGACAGAAGTAATAAAGCTGCTACTGCTCATTTATCAGCACTCTTATTGTCTTGCACAACCATCTTTGAGAAAGAATGTCTCTGAACAGTGGTTTCAAAAACCATAATTATTTTAATTTTTGAGGAAAGAGGGGATTCTTTTTGTTATTATCTTCTTTATCTCTTCTTTCCCTGCTGTGTTTCTCCAAGTGTTACAAAATTTTACCTCTCTTCGCTAGGGCAGAAGTTACACTTAATAGTGGGTGATTGAGTTACGTTTTTCTGGAATTGGCGTCTTCCTCAGTCCACCTTGTTCCTGGGTGTTTCTCTCTGTAATACATACCTCAGAATCTGTACTAGTAGTTCACACAGTTGGAAAATCTTATCAGTCAAAAAAAAAGCGTTTCAGACGCCAGGATAGCTTTAGAAGTCCTTTTAGAAAATGTCTGTGAAAAGAGGACAATAGAGGTGTAGGGAAATAAGGATAAAGTCGAGCTGTGTTTGTGTTTTGTAGAAACAGATATTCAGCATACGAGACTTAAATTGGATAAGCACTGGACAGGAGAATTTGTTTGAAGTCCCAACAAATATATGGAAACTTGTAACTGGGTCAGATGAAAGATCTGTCTAATCTGCTATGCTGTAGAGACAGTGTCAACAATACATGCTTAGAGGAGCTAAGAATGGGGCTGGTATAGAGAAACTCTTTTGTTTGGCTATCCACCAAGCTTTAGCAGTCAATAATCTAGGGGCAATATCTGGGCTGTCCTCAGAGCCAACAGTAGATCTATTCTGCATGGATTTCTTTAGTTCTTTTAAAAAAACCTTTTAGCATCCTCTAGCAACAATGTTCACAGGATGGCTGTTGTGTGAGCAGAATTCCATCTTTTCTTTGTTTGAAGTTTGCTATCTGAGAATTTCAATGGTTGCCTCCCATGGACTGCATCTTTTGTGACACAAAAATTGAAAATGAAAGTTTAGAAAGTCATTGAGTTCCAGTGTAGGTATTGGTAAATTCCACATCAGTGATTAATGCTAAATAAAAAAAATAAAAGGTATATATTTCTGGTAACTTGTTTTTTTTAGGCTCGACACTACATTGCAGAATCTCTTGGAGGGAAATACGCAGAAGGATTTATTCTTGAAATGGAAGCAATGTGGACAGAAAGCGACTGTCGAACACCTTTAACATGCTTTTTATCAATGGGGTCTGACCCCACTGAAAATATAGAACGTCTTGCAAAATCAAAGGTATCCTTCTAAACTGAGTTTGCTAGAGCTGATAAAGACATTTAAAATTATCCTTTGAACTAGAAATGGTATTTCTATATTTTACAGAAGTTTGAATGATGATACTTATATTCATACCAGTGTTCTCTAGAAGTTAATTTTGGACCAGTAGCCAAAATGCTTTTACTGAGGAAACGGAAATGTTACATTCTTGCTTTTTCCAGTTGTTTGATTCCAATGAGCCCTCTGTCTTTATCCAGCAGACTGTGATAGTCCATTACTTAGTGAAAGTACTCAGCTGTAAGAACAAAGCAATACTTGTGGTTTACACTGTGTCACATTCACTGTAGGAGCTGACAGTAGTGACGATTACAGGAAATCACAGAAAAACATCATAAATATGGTGACAAGAGAAATTAATTTGGAGGCTCTACCATTCAATCAGTTCACCTGATAGAGACGTTCAGCATTTTTTTCAGCACAGCATCATTTTAAGGCACTCTGTGCTTTGTGGTTTATGGTTCACAGTGTAGATGCAAGTGTGATTTTCCGAAGAACAACTTATTCACAGTAGATCTCCATAAATTTTCCTCCCTGTTAGAATGCATCTTCATTTAGAGGTGCAGGATTTTGGTATGCACTAAGTAAGGCTTGCTTGCAAAAGTGGGGAGCACCCACAAATCTCTTTAACTTATTAATTAGAAAGTTTAGATGCTCGTTCTCTTTGAAAATTAGGACTCTTATTTTATTTGTCTGACTGTGATAAAGAGTGCTTAAATTTAGGATCTAACTCTCACTTGAGTGTTTAAACTTAGGAATCTTAAGTCTGAAGTTGTTGATGTGATCCTTGTCCCCAAAAACTGTGCAGCCAGATAGCCAGCCAATATACAGACATAGGGAGGGAGAAGGACGGCAGTTGGGTGAGGAGGATTTTTAGGTTTATTGGAAGCAATGCATTGGAAGAACAATTTTATTCCTATTCACAAAATATTCTATTGCCTTTTTCTAAGATATGAGAGACATTTTGGCTTTGTAGATGATTTTAAATTAACTGCAAGTATATTTATAGACTAGAAATGGGTAATTTCTTTTAGTCCGTTTTCAAGTCCAAGTAAACAGATTAGGTGGTTGTGATTCGATTCCTGTTTTCATGGCCTATGGTATGAATACAAATGGAGTGTCAGCTTTGTGATGATGTTTTCATTCACCTATTTGGCTCTTCAACATATGTGTCCTATGAAATGTACTCCTAAATAAGTACTTACCCTGTCTCCAGTAGGAGTTAGTTTCTGTAATCAATAAAGAGTGGCTCCTTTAAAAGCGATTCAGAGCACACAATTGAAACTTAACTCTGACTTGCATAGAGGAGTTGAGTATTTCTATCCCATTGGCCATGTAAAGGGATAAGGGACACTAACCTCCTAATAGAGTCTCTTGAAGTCAGCTGGTCACTTAGAGTCACTCTTGCAAGGAGTGGAACAAAATGCTCTCCCATTCTGTCAAATCTTAAGCAAGACCTTAGACTGTCTGGGGAAGTGCTGGTAGGTAGAAGGTGCTCTGTAATTGTGACTGTTAAGAGACAGCAATTTTTGCCATCAAAGTATGTTGCAGTGGGCAGTTTTAATATGTTTTCGTGCTTTAAGGAAACATGTATAGAATAATAGAAAGTGAGGTGTCAAAAGAGCTAAAGGGATTGCCTTGTTTATTCGCACATGGCTTATGAACAAAGCAACATCAGCTAGGCTGTCATAACCTGAAGTTCAACTGTAATGTCAACTGTAAATGTAAAATTAACTGTAATGTTTAACTGTAAAGTTCCTGTCTGATCTCTTGAAGTAAAGATCTTACCACACAGCATATAGAAACCTTTCAAATATACAAAAGCCATCCAGATTCTGCAAATCAAATTACAAACACAGATCTTTTTTTTAAGTAAAAATGTATATTAACATTGTGGGACTGGGGGAGCACTTTAGTAGTTCTCTAGCTTTTGAAAAACGTATCTAGTTTTCAGAAACATTTGCAAGAGAGCTTTGTGTTTATTTTGCTAGTTTGTCAACAAATTGTACTTAGTTCCCGTCTTTCTCTGGGCTTTCTCTGCTTTTATCCAGAATAAACCTTTGACTTAACATAGGTTAACTGCACCAAGGATCTGATCTTGGTATATATGTGATTCTGTTCCTCCAAAGTAACCTATTTATTGTTTGGTGTTTTTTTTTTTCTTCTTAATGATAGAAAACTTCCAAAAGACATGCTGGGCCTATTTTTCAGGGATTTCCCTTTTACAGGCATGATTTGTAGTCTTAAAATGGATTGTCAGTACTGATGGTACCTCTAAGTCTGATATTAACAATATAAATCAATTATCTGCAGTTGGAAATGTTCAAATTCGTGGCCAGAATTTATTTTTCACTCTAAAATTTAGTTGTTCAGAGGCTGTCTCGCAAAGAAATGGAAACAGTATCTGTGACTACTGAGCTATATAACCTTGTTTATAAACGAAGCAAGCTCTATCTTAAAACTAGTTGGATTTCTGCCCCCTTTATTTTCACTTGAAGATGGAGTGAAAATTTAACTTTCTGAATTAAAATGAAGTTCATTATGCCTAGCACTTTGACTTCATTAAAACCAGACATTTTTATTATTGTAGAGATAGTTTCTTCTTTCAGGGAATGATGCACAGAACCTTCAACAGAACTGTCAGGGCCACTATAGTGACTAAAATGATAGTATTTTCATCTGGATAGCAATGTATTAAGATGACACAGATATATTGGTATGACTCATTATTGAGAGAAACATTCTCTTAATACGCAGACATTTTGATAATTCTTTCAGGAGTAAAATGAGGACAATCCATAGTGAAAAATATTTTTTCCTTGTCTTGATGTTTCTATAACCTTTAATGATTGTACATTTGAGAGGTAACATTGCTGAGAAGAGCAAATTTTGAGCAGATGCCTTGTTAGGGAATAATGTACCAGCTGAATATTTATGCACTCTGCAGGGGTAGTCATAGTCTTTGACTTACGGAGTGCTAGCTGTACTCAGACACATCTTAGAAAAGGTAAAGTTTTTGCTCCTCCAGCACATAGCCAACTTCACAGGCTATTTAGCTTTGCTTCTTTTAGCTGCAATTTCAGGTTTTACTGACCTGAGAGCAGGATTTAACTGCTTTCTGATCTTTGGCATTCTCTTCTTAAATCTTTCACCAGGATGAGGATCATATACAGGAGCTGAATTTATACTGTTCAGTAAAATCAGGTCAGGGCCTGTTCTCTGACCCTAAGGCCAAATGACCCAGCTCAGCTTGTGTCCATATGCTTAAAGATTTTTGTCCTGCAGAAGTAGCGTAGTCTCATCCACGCTGTTTAGGACTGGATAACTTCCTTCTTTTTTGTTCACAGTGAGAGTCCCAGTAGCAGGAAAACCTTTGTAGCTCTCAGCCAGCTGAAGATAGGCCCAGATTGATAAGTCTTTATGCAGCTTATTGCTCACAGCATGAGGGATACTCAGCTGTAGGTCTTGGACATGAAACTGTCCATGAAACTAAGGGTTTTCATCTATTCCATTGCCCTCAACATGTATATAGAATAATATGCTCAACTGGGTTTTATAATTCTGGTTTTCCCTGGTAGGAGTCAGGCAGCCAACCTAAGCCAAGGAACTACTTACTTAACAAGAACAAGGGTAGTAAGAACATAAGCCAAGAGGGGGTCTGCCTGCACGTTACTTACAGACTTGTATGGTCCTGATCGCAACCAAGTGCAACCTTGTCTTTTTCAGATCCCCTTGTGAGAGCGTGTATCATCTTCTGTTTTTCTGAACAACTGGCTTTCTTCTCCCATGGCCTCTGGAGGAAAGACTCCATAAACTTCCAGAATTCTTTTGTTTGCATTTATGAGCTTTGTCTCTTCTGAATCCAGAAAACTAACAGCTAGAAAACTAGCTAGAGCTAGCAGATCACCAAACTAGAATCCTCTGGATCAGTGGCTCCACAGCTGCCAGTTAACAATACAGGATGTTTGCTAAGGAATGACTTAATGTGAACCAATCTTTCCTGTCCTGACTGCTTCCTTGACAGTTCTCTGTTAGGTGAAATATGTTCAGACAGTAAAAAGACACCAAAATTGTTGGCTTTACCCTGTGCATTAATTATTATGTGGACCCATAGTATCTGTCCATCTCAAGGTAGTCCACATCATAGGAAAAAGAATAGTCAGGCAGCTATGTTGTTGTGTGTATGTCCTGTTTTATTTGGGAAAGTGGGGAAAAGGAAGGGAAAATGTTTCAGTTGTCTTACCCCATTGACTTTGTTAGATGTGCAAAAAAAGATTGTGTCCAGTGGGTGTAGTTTTCTTTCAGCAGTTGGAAGGTAAGAGCAACTTGGAAGGGTTTGCTTTTTTGTTTACTCTGTTTTAATATAATCAATCTCCATTGATATTAGCGGTTTTCTTTGTGGCACTCTACTCTCTAATCTCACTACACATGGACCTGCAGAAGCAATACATCATGTGTATAATCATTCTAAAGAACTATATATAAAAGAAACTTTCTTTTTTTCCTTCCAGAACATTCCCTGTCGTGCCATTTCAATGGGTCAGGGCCAGGAAGTCCATGCAAGGCGCCTGTTAAATCAGTGCATGCAAGATGGAGGATGGCTCCTTCTGCAGAACTGCCACCTTGGCTTGGAGTTTCTTAGTGAATTAATGGACACCATCACAACAACAGAATCTATGAGTGAAGGTTTCAGGACCTGGATCACTACAGAGGCTCACCCAGAGTTTCCTATTAATCTTTTACAGTCCTCTATCAAATTTACTAATGAACCCCCTCAAGGTAGGAAACCATGCTTTTTTTGAGTTTTGGGGCTTGCTTTTTCCTGCCCCCTCTGTACCACTATACTCTGTGCAGTGTTTTAATTTTTATTCTCCATTGTAACATTAGCCAAATACAGTACTGTGTAAGTCAGTCTTGCGATGTGTAAAACATGACTCTTTTGGGGAGAAAATGGATATTGTTTGGTTTTGTTACAGAAATTTATAGTGATTTTGTTGTTTGTGTAGAATCTGTGGAGAATGCCAGGTCAGCGGTCCTTTTTTAAGCCTAGTACACTCCAGCACTCTTTTCTTTCTGTCCTGTTGACACCACCCAAGGATGCAGAGGGGAACCAATCCTGTGCTCTACTGGGTAAGAAAAGGAAGGACTTTTCTGAACACCCAACCGCAATCTCCCAAGCTCCAGTATGTAGCTGTGGCTGTTGCTTCTTGTTATGTCATCTGGCACTGCTGACAGGAGACTGACACCAGCATCTTTGTAATTGTCCTTCAAATATTTGTGAGCTGCTACTGAATCACCCCTTAACCTCTGTCACAGGCAAGACAGTTAATAACAACCCATAGTAGATCTGAATACTTGGGGTTTACTTAAGAATTGATGAGATTAGGGCTTTTATGCTACTTGCTTATTTTACACACTCACTCTCTCAAGCTCCCAGCCTCCTGTATTGCATTCATTTCGTCTTGACTTCCCTTCCCATTGGAGAGATCGCTGCTGGCCCAGGAGGGTCAGACAGAAAGTCATGTTGGTTTCATGCATGTTGGTGCAGCTACTTGCAGCTACCAGTCTTGGACATTACTGGCCTAGGTCCCTGGGCATCCCCTGGCATTTGCCTCCGTGCATCTCCCCTACCTCCAGGATCTTTCCCCACTTCCAGGATGTTTCTTCAAGCTAGAATGTTAATCTCATGCTTTCTGGGCCTCTAAGCCCCCAGTCTTCCTAATCTAAGTAGTCTATGTGCAGAAGCACAATGTGTGATCAGCATCCTAATTGGCAGTTCTGACTCATGTTTCTGTATTAATTGGAGGATTCAGGATGTTTCACTTTTTGCAGCCTGTACCATTCGCAGCTGGCAAGTAGCAGGTTTGTCCCTGAGAGTTCAAAATTTCAGTTTTGGACAGCTACCATCCCTCATATGTGCATGCAATTATCTGCCGCCTTTCAGTGTTCACAGTTTAAGCTGGTTTTTGCATACCACAGCCTCCTCTTCAACAGACTAAACAAACTCAACCTTCTTATCCTATCTTTGTAGGTCATGCACTCTCAGTATCTGACCGCCTTTATTGCCCCATCCAGTTTCTCCACACCTCCCTTGTGTGCCAAATGTGGTCAATGTATCTGAGGGGAAGCCTGATCAGTGCTAAGTGGAAAGTGATAACTTCCTTCAGTCTGCTAGCTGTGCTTTTTCTAAGGTAGCCCACTATCTGGATAGCCTTATTTGCAATAAGAGTGCAATGTTGGCTTATAGTCAACCTGGCATCTGTGATAACCCTGAGGTGCTTACGAGTAGATCTCAGCTAGCAGATCTCAGCTTGTACAAATGCATGGGGTTATTGTGCTGCAGGTGCAGAATGTTGCAATTCTCCTTGTTGAACTTCTGGTTTTGTTGGCCAAGTCTTCATCTCTCTCTAGATCCCTCTGGACTGATGCTCTGCCATTTAGTATGTCAACCACACTCTCTAATTTAGTATTGTCTGCAAACTTGTTGAGGTTGCCTTTGTCTCCTTATCCAAGACACTGATGAAATATTGAACAATATCTGTCCCTGGTGTACTTTGTTTTTTTTCTGGCTGCTAGGATATCTCAAGCCATTGATTACTTACTATTCTGTGAGCCTAGTAACCAACCTGCTAGCCTTCTACAATAAGATGATTGGTTTAGTGAATGAGGGGAGAGCACAGGATGTTGTTTACCTTGACTTGAAGAAGGCTTTTGACATAGCCTCCCAATACATCCTTATAGGCATAGTGATGAAGTAGGCTTACAGAAGTGGACAGTGAGGTTGATTGAAAATTGTGTGAACTCCCAGGCTCAAAGGGTTGTGGTCAGGTGCACAAATCCAGCTGGAGAGCAGTCACCAGTGATGTACCCCGGGGGTCAATACTGGGGCCAGCAGTGGTTAAAATTTTCGCTAATGACCTGGATGATGGGACACCCTCAGCAACTTTATAGTTGATACAAAGTGGGAAGAATGGGCTGGTACACCAGAAGGTTGTGTTGATCGGTGGGAGTTTCACAGGCTGGAGAAATGGACTGACAGGAATCTGCTGAACTTCAACATAGGGAAATGACAAATACTCCCCCTGGGGAGAAAGAACCTCATGCACCCATACGTGATGGGGCTGACCAGCTGTAAAGCAGGTTTGCAGAAAAGGACCTGGGGTTCCTGATGGAAACCAAGTGGAACATGAGCCAGTAATACACCCTTGGAGCAAAGATGGCCTGCAACACCCTCAGCTGCATTAGGAAGATCATTTCCAGCAGATTGAGGGAGGTCATTCTTCTCTACTCAGCCATGGTGAGAGCACATTTAGAGTGCTGTGTCCAGGTCTGACCTCCCCAGTGCAATGGACAGAATGAGTCCAGTGAGAGGCCATAAAGATGCTGAAGGGATTGGAGAACACGACATATGAGGAGAGGCCAAGAGAGCTATGATTGTTTAACCTTGAGGAGAAATGGGGTATCTTATCAATGCATATAAATATGTGATGGGAGTGAGTAAAGAAAACAGCAAGACTTTTCTCAGCAGTGCCAAGTGACAGAAAAAGAGGTGATGGACACAAATGGAAATCCAGGAAATTCCACTTCAGCATCAGAAAAAGCTTAACCCACTGTGAGGGTGGTCAAATACTGGAACAGCTTGTTCAGTGAGTTTGTAGACTCCATCCTCAAAACCCACATGGATAAGGCGCTGAGCAACCAGCTGAAGTTGACCCTGCTTTGAGAAGGGGTGTTGCGCAAGGTGACCTCCAGAGGTCCCTTCCAACCTCAACTATTTGGTGTTATTCTGTGTGATATGAAAACATCCAGCTTTTCTAAGTAGTCTCTAACCTGTTGCTCTCCTGCTGTTGAATGTGTCTCTCTTACCCAAACTATGCTGCTACTTGCAGATGTCCTTTATATGTTTATAGAACCAACTTACTACCCTGCTTTATGTCTACTTATTATGTATGATGAGGGAAGGTTAATTCATGTTTTGGACTGTGGCAGAAAGAAATCCTCAAGCCTGACACTTATTTTGTCTTTTAACTCCCTCATGTTTAACTAACTGTGTAATGCATTAACTTGCCCTTCATCTATATATATGTGTGTTGCCACTGATTTCAGTTAATGAAGTCAGTAGGAGCTGAGAATTTTTATCCAAGGTCATATTTAATTCCTCAGTCATTTAAACCTCTTATTTCAGTATTCATCTTCCTTTGAACATTAGTAAGATGTCTACAAAATGTCTGATCTTGTGAAAGACATCCTGTTTCAGTGTATAGTCTCCACTCTCAAGAGCAGTTAGTCACTCTGCTGTTAAAAATTTCATACTTCTTTCTCTTCTTCTCCCCCCTTTGTAATTCAATGCTCAGCATCTTTTTATTGTACTGTGACCCCTCCTTATCATTCAAATGATAACACCCTATAGCTCCAAGAGGCTATTTTATAAGCCAGGTTATAGCCAATTTACAACTTGCATTTAGTAATAGAAATATGCCCGGTGTAACAATTTAAGTCAGGATGAAATATAAACAGTTTTAGTTTTCTGATACTGTCCTGCCATGTTGGTAGCACAATGTGATAAAGCATTTTTGTTTGATTACTTTGTCTTGATTTTGGAAATCTCTTATGATACCCTTATAGTATTTTGAAAAGCTGTTTGTTTGAATATTGTTCTACAGGATTTTTGTGAAGTAGGAAAGAAGCAAAAGGGCTTTTATTGTGTCATAGGAAGTATGATGACTTGGACAGTCTATTCACTGCACTTGAAATCTGTCTTTTTAGACTTGTGTTAAGCTGATTAGGTGGAAGATATTGTAAGAGGGACCTGGTGTCCCTCATGCTCGGTATTGTCTGCCAAAGGTAGATGATACTTCAGTAGCGCTGCCTGAAAGCATCTGGGAGTAGTGGGGCTTGTGTATTCATGGAAGCTGAGATTGTATCAGTATCATTTGCCTAAAGCTGTTCCTGGGATATGAAATGTCAGTGCTCAAACAAACCTCCCCAAGTGTTAGTACTTGCGCTATGAATTTAGGTTCTCGTCTTAGCAGCTTGGTGCCTGTATGCCAGTTTGAGAAGCTGCGTACAGAATGTTGAGATTGTTGTAGGAATGAAATCTAAATAAAATTGTCTTCAGTAGAACTAAAATCTCATTTTATATGTAAATATCGAAACACAAACTCTTGGATATTCATTGCTATATTTCATATGATGTTAGGTGTCTTTTTGATTGCCACATAGTTGCTGAATAGTTATGTTTATTTCAGTTGTTATTGGTAACATTTAGAATATTGTAATTGTAATTCCTTCCAGACTCTTGAACTTAATTTGGTGTGTCACCTACATGAAACAAAATGTAATTGAAGTTTGCCTGCTATGACCAGCTGAACAGATAATTGATTCAAAGAGATTATTTGAAGCTATAAATAAGATGATACTGTAAACTGGAATAGAGAATTCTGCTTAACGAAATGTATGGGTTCCATACATTTTTTTGCTCATATATTACATTTTTATACTTATTTTCTAGGTGTGAAAGCTGGCTTAAAACGAACATACTCAGCTGTTACTCAGGATCACCTAGAAGTGAGCAACATGCCACAGTGGAAACCACTGCTATATGCTGTAGCATTTCTTCACACAACTGTTCAGGTTTAAAAATACAGTTCTTTTCTTCTGTCATAAAGCCATGTTTCACTTATTAATGCACCATGTTATTAAATGAAAAACATGTTTAAATGAAAATCCCACGTTGGTAAATTAATACAAATAAAATAAGAAAGAAAACAACACACCTCTATTGCTGCAACTGTCTTAGAACTTAGAACTTTGCTCATGTTGATCTTGTACCTCCAACAGGCATTTCAGAGGGAAAAAGGACAGTCAACCAATGATCAGTTAGTGTATTCTTCTGTTAAAGTCTTTGGGCATGGCTGTGTGATCTGTCTTTCAACTAACAGGTTTTTTACTAATATTTTAAATCATAAAAGCACATTAAAGAAATTTACATCTTGGGTTGGAAAACCATAGTCTTAAAACTGCTGCTTTCACAATGAGAAGGGCTAAGAGGATGAATATAAATCCTTCCTGCAGTGAAACCTGTAGGAGGAAATTAAGGTGGAAGATAGTTTTGGGTCTTGCCTTTCAGGAGTTCCATTAAAGAAAGTGCTTTATGGATTAACCACAACTTTTCATCATTCTGTTGATAGATTTTGCAGTATCTTTAGTTTATATTTGGTGCCTAGTTAATTTAACTCTGTGGCATCCATGCACTGATACATTGTGGTCTAATGGAAGCCTGTGGTATGCTTGTCTTTGGCCCATCGCTTCTTTCTTGGTGGAAATTAAGAATGTTTAAATACCAGATACTGGCCTAACAACTACATACTGCCAGCTGCATCTGTAAATGATTCAGTAAGAAGCAGCTTTTGCTACTTCGCATCTGCACCATGCAGAGACATCAGTGGTATGAATATACCTAGTCCACAGGAGGACCATAGACAGTGATCATGGCTGATGAGTTTGGACATCCTTTCCTAAAAGAGTAGCTTCATTTTTGAAATTCAAAAACTATAGTTCTAGTCTCACAGATTTGCTACACTTAAAAAAGATTTTTTTCTGTGTGAAAATCTTAATATTCCTCTTCTTTGTTCGTATCTGTTTACTGATGATGGTAAATTAAGAGATTTATAACTACTAGATAAGCATTTGGCCTTGTGTGTGTTAAGAGAAGAATCATTTTTTTTAAGTTTGTGAAATACAGCCCCAACTGGACTACTGCGTTCTTAGCATATTTCATGTATTCTTCTGTACTTAATGTTTTCTTCACAGTTAATATCAATCAGCCTTTTACTTTAACTCTATCTATTTTACAGGAAAGACGAAAGTTTGGTTCATTGGGCTGGAATATTCCTTATGAATTTAATCAGGCAGACTTTGCAGCCAGCGTGCAATTTGTTCAGAATCATTTGGATGATATGGACATTAAACATGGAGTGAACTGGAGCTGTGTTCGCTATATGCTTGGAGAAGTACAGTATGGTGGCCGTGTAACTGATGACCTTGACAAAGCACTGCTGAATACATATGCAAGAGTGTGGTTTGGAGAGCATATGTTTAGTGAACAATTTTGTTTCTACAAAGATTATATTATTCCAAAAGGGAAAACAGTTGAAGACTATCTCCACTACATAGAGCAATTGCCAGTGATTGATACACCTGAGGTAAAATATTTCAATATATTAAAGGGAGTTTTTGTCCGATAAATAATTTAATGAGGTATATTTTCCAGAGCCATGAGTGTATAGGTCAAGATTAGCAGGCAGACCATTATAGTGGGTATCTAGTGTAGGTCTGCTGACCAGGAATAGGTAGATGAGGCCTTCTTCAAACAATTGGAAGAAGTCTCACATTCACAGGCCCTGGTCCTCATGGAGGACTTTAATGACCTTAATTATCTGCTGGAAGGGTGATACAGCAGGGCTCAAGCAGTCTAGGAGATTTCTTGAGTGCATTAATGACAGTTTCCTGGCACAGGTAACTGAGGAGCCAACAAAGAAAGGCGCTTGGCTGGCCCTGATACTTATGAGCAAGGAAGAACTGGTCAGGGATGTGAAATCCAGAGGCAGCCTTGACTGCAGTGGCCAGTGGTGGAGTTCAGGATCCTAAGAAGAGGGAGTAGGGTAAAAAGCAGGACCACAGCCCTGGATTTCAGGAGAGCAGACCTAAACCTCTTCAGAGGTTTCTACCAGGCTTGGAAGAATCCCATGGGATATGGCCCTGGAGAGAAGAGAGGTCCAGGAGAACTGGTTTATATTCAGGGATCACCTCCTCCAAGATCAAGAAAGATCCATCCTAACAAGTAGGAAGTCAAAGGCAGCAGGAAGCCTGAATGGATGAACAAGAAGCTCCTAACTGAATTCAGACATAAAAAGAAAGTGTACAAGCGGTGGAAGCAGGGGCAGGTGACCCAGCAAGAGTATAGAGCTACTGTCCAATCTTGCAGGGACAGGGTTAGGAAAGCCAAGGCCAAAGTGGAGTTGAATCTGTCAAGGAATGTGAAAGGATTTTACAAGTACATAAACAGCAAAAAGATGACTAGGGAAAATGTGGATCCATTGCTGAAAGGGTCAGAAGAACTAGTGAGAAATGATATGGAAAAGGCTCAATGCCTTCTTTGCCTTAGTCTTTACCAGTAAAACTGGCCTCCAGGAATCCCAGGCCCCTGAGATGAAAAGTCTAGAACAAGGAACTTACCCCTGGTGGAAGAGGACCAGGTTAGGGAGCATTTAAACAAACTGAACATATGTAAGTTCATGGTACCTGATAGGTTGCAACCTTGAGTGCTGAGGGAGCTGGCTGATGTCATTGTCAGGTCACTTCTGATTACTTTTGATTGAAAGATGTTCCTGAAGGATGGAAGATAGCAAATATCACTCCAATCTTCGCGAAGGGAATAAGAAAGATGTGGGGAACTCCAGGCTGGTCAGCCTCACCTCAGTCCCTGGGAAGGTCCTGGAGAAAATCCTCTTGCAAAGCATTTCCAAATGTATGAAGGACAAGCAGGTGATTGAGAGTAGCCAGCATGGATTTGTGAAGGAGAAATTATGCTTAACCAATGTCAGCGTTCTACAATGAGGTGACCAGTTTGGTGGATGAGGGTAGAGCAGTGGATGTTTTTTACCTCAACTTTAGTAAGGCCTTTGACACTACCTCCTATAACATCTTCATAGACAAGCTGACAAAGTATGGGTTAGATAAGTGTGCTGTGAGGTGGTTTGAAAACTGGCTAAATAACCGGCCCCAGAGGGTTGTGGTCAGTGGCATAAAGTCCAGTTGGAGACAGGTCACTAGTGCTGTATGCCAGGGGCCAATACTGGGGCCAATACTGTTTAACATCTTTGTTAATGACCTGGGTGATGGGGCAGAGTGCACCTTCAACAAGTTCACAGGAGATACAAAACTGGAAGGAGTGGCTGATAGACCAGATGGTTGTGCTGCTATCCAGAGAGATCTGGTCAGGCTGGAGAACTGGGCAGAGGGGAATCTCATTAAATTTGACAAGGGGAAATGCAAATTCCTGCATTGTTTGTCCTAGTGGACAACTAGCTGACCGTGAACCAGCAACGCACCCTCATGGCAGAGGCCAACAGTATCAAGGCCACATTAGGAAGAGGAAGGTGATCCTTCCTCTCTGCTGAGCACTGGTGAGACTATATCTGAAGTTCTGTGCCCAGTTCTGGGCTCCCCAGTACAAGAAAGTTACGGAGTGAGTCCAGAGCAGGGCCGTGAAGATGATTAAGGGACTGGAGCATCTGTCATATGAGGAAAGGCTGAGAGAGCTGGGATGCTTTAGCCTGGAGAAGAGGAGGCTCAGGCAGGATCTTATCAATCTGTATAAACACCTGTTGGGAGGGTGTAGAGATGGAGCCAGAGTCTTTTCAATGGTACCCAGTGAAGGAACAAGAGGCAATGGACATAAATTGAACAATAGGAAATTCCATCTGACAACAAGAAAACATTTTTTTACAGTGAAGGTGGTCAAGCACTGGAAGATGTTGCCCAGAGAGGTTGTGGAGTCTCGACCTTTGTAGATATTAAAATCCCAGCTGGACACTGTCCTGGACAGCCTGCTCTATCTGACTTTGCTTGAGCAGCTGGTTTGGATTAGATGACCCTCAGAGGTCCCTTCCAAACTAAACTATTTTGTGATTTTGCAATTCTGTATGGGATTGAGCAGACATGCAAACTGAGAAATAAGGAAGATAAAAAAGCCATATGGTCTCATTTTGCAAGCTATAATTGAGAGATTATTCCATTTTGACAACAGGAAGGATGTTGCCATGAATTGATGGGGTAGGGTGCAGGGTAGCTCCTGGTTGCAACCACTTTTACATGACCCAGTGCGTGTATACTGCAGTGGTCACATTAATTGGAGGACTGCAACTTTCTGCTCCCTCTAGTACAGGCACACATGATGAAGTTAGTTAAAATTGAAACAGAAGTGAATGCTCTGGATTTCTGTCTCATTGCTATTAAGTTGATAAATGCCTTTGGAAGTAAGTTCTATTAAGATTAAATAGAAAGGACTGAACAGAAAAAAATGGTTTTCTGTTGCTGATAATGTGCTGGCTGAGAGGGTGAGTAGATTCCAAGGTCATAAATTAAACTTGAAAAGTTTTGAATCTCTGAAGGTAGTGAAACCAGAGTGCAAGAGTATTTGTGCTGGCAGCGATGCACCTTTTCCAAGTGAGGGTAAATGCAGCCATGATAATGTACCAGTGGGATCCACCTAAGCCCAGATCATGAAGTGGTTCCTATCAGCGTATGAACCTTGACTCTATCAGATTTCAGGTGCTACTTTCATGGGTCTGCTTTTCTAAGCACTTGGGAACCTATCTCACAATGCTGCAATGTATTTTTAAAGTATTTTGATGCCTGCAAAAACTCTGTATGTATGGTTTGATATAGAGGAATTTTACCTTTGACTTTTATGTAAATAAGATCAAGTCCAGGAATGCAAACATCTTTTTCTCCTTCACATTTTCACAGGTTAGGAAGAAAGCTATGACTTTCTTCTGTCATTCCAAAATCTGTCAAAATTGCTCATGGAAACCTTCAACCTTTTAATCTCCCAGTCGTCTTCGTTCCACAAAGGATATTGTGCTAGTCAAAACAGTGTATCTTTGTTTCCTTCCCTTTCCATTTTTGGTTAAGAGAGAAAGACTGAATAAGTCTCATTGCTGTATCCTTGCTCTTTTGATGAAATTTCAACCTCTGATCAGAATAAACACTGACTTCTGAAGAGGGCTATTGAACTCAGCAATCCCTTTGAAAGTGACTTTGATTTCAGAGGGGTATAGAGCTTTAGCAATTGGTTTTGAGGATTTATCAGGCTAAAAAAAATCCTGAACGACAGAATCCGACATCCTCTTTTTAATCAAAGTTCCCAGAGATTTTGGATCAAAAAGAATGAGAGATTGGGCTCCTTGATTAATATACAGGACATCCAGGACACGGGTCTACCCACTGCTTTACTACTCTGGTTTCTTTGTTCTTATTCCTTCATACATCACTTGCATAAAAACATAGGACCAGAGTTGTCTCCCATGTAACATCCCTGTCTTTGGCAATATTACACCAATTTTGAAGTTAGCCCTTGGACTAGCAGTACAATTTACATTCACAATAGCAGATTATTTTCATGTTTCTAACTTGGGCTATAGCATTGCCACAAAATCTGCTAGAGCAAAAACAAAAAACCAAACCCTTATTGTGCAAGAGCAAAAGCAGAAAAGAGTGTATCTTCACATGTGTATTTCATTCCATATAGAACATGAGTGTAACAAAGTGCATTGATTTTTTCACTTTTTACAGTTCTAAATATTCAGGTTGAGTAAACCACTATGTGTAAAACATGTTAAATCCTACTTGGAACCCAATTCCATGCTAGTAATAGTCACACCTTCTCTCACACGCGGTATTAGGTCTGTACTGTGTTCTTTGTGCTGTTGTAAGGATCAGATCCACAACTGGTGAAAATCAGTGCAGCTTTGCTGGCTTTGACAGATGCAGCCACTTATATCCCTTGCCTCTGAGTTTCTAGATTTGCAAGCATAACAATATTACATATGGCCCTTTTTATTCTGTCCTTAGAATATGTAAATATTGGTTACTAGAAGTGTCTTCTTGTAATATACCAATAATAATGTAAAATATGAAAACATGAAAAATGAGAAACAGAAGATTGCTTGGCTTTGGTGCTCAGTTGAAGGGTCAGTGGTTGGATCAGTGGTTCAAAGTTTGTAAGGGATAGTTAATAGCTATAATTAAATGAGAACTTTTGAAATAAGTCACAGTATAACTCCTCCTGGAGAAGAGTTGTAGTTGTCAACCTGACAATTATAGACTTACTGATATTTCAGTGGAAGTTTCTGAGAAAGCTATTATCATTCAGACAAAGGGCATCTTTGCAGTAATTCTGTGCTAGCTGTATCTTAAATAAAATAATTCCATTTCAGAAGAAGGGGAAGTAAGGAGTGGGAGACTTAAACCAAAAATAGCTAAACCATAAAATATCCTAAATGTATCACCAGTCATAAAATCTTTAGGTACTTCGAATACGGGCAGTATTTTATTCACTGTGCTGCATGCCTTATAAGCCTAAGAGACTGAGTGGAAAAAAATGTGTTAGAAATGGTAACTGGTCTGATTATTAGGGGCATCTGCTTGAGCTGGTACAACAGCAACAGATCTGTAGAGACAAAGAGCTTGTGGTGAGGGGTCAGTGTCCACATATGACATGTTTCCAACAAGCTCTAGTCTGAACCAGTGGAAAGGAATCAGTTTGAACCCCCTGATAGCACTCCACAGCATGATCCAAAACCTGCTATGTGAAGATAATCAGAAGTTAATTTAAAAAACCCCCACTCATATGAATGAAAACGCTATTGTATGTGCAGACTCTGTTCATGTTTTTGTGTAATTTGGGCTTGGTTCTTGGCCAGTTAAATGGGTGTACTTCCACTGACCTATTCATATCTATTGTTTTATAGAGCTGAGGATTTTCTTCCTTGTTTATCCATTTCCATGCATTCTTTCACTGGTAGAATTTTAGAAGGAAAATCACAATTTTTAAAAGATTTTTTTCCCTTTTACTTTAAGGTATTTGGACTTCACCCTAATGCAGATATAACTTACCAGACTAACCTGGCTAATGAGACATTAAGTACAATAGTGAGCATCCAGCCCAAAGACAGCAGCACTGGAGGAGGAGAAACCCGAGAAGCAGTGGTGCAGCGTCTTGCTGATGAGATGCTAGAGAAGTTACCTGCAGATTATAACCCTCATGAGGTATATGCTGCTTTATAGATACAGATGGTTTATGTATGTATGTATGTATATGTTTTATGACTTTTATTGTGCTTCTTAAATTTAACTGGCATGTGTTTTAGAAAGCTCTTAAAATTATGTATAGTGTTTTATAAGTCTCTTTTTGTTTATTATCTCAAATACTCCTATGTCGGAAACATGTATTTCAAATGCCATAGTCCACTTTATTAGTCACCTTAACTCAGAAGAGCCATTAGAGACTTCAGAAAGTTCTTGCCCTCCTTAGTAGCTTAAAGGAGGACACCAGGACCTCTTTCTGAAGGATCAATGATCTTATAGTGGCTACAGCTTTCAATTTACCTACTCTTATCATGATACCAACATTATGAATAATATATTTTATCACTGACGTTTTCATGCCCCAGATTTTTTGGAGTTTGAGCTATAACAGACATATTTGTCAATCTTTCCTTGCATTTTTGATTAACAGTCTAATTAAATGGAAAAATCCAGCATAAAGCACTCTTGTATCAGTAAGTAGGATCTGGTGTCTTGCCATGTGTTTCATGAACAGTAACTCTTGAAAACCCCTCATTTCCATGATTTTATTGTTTACAATTCTGTTTTGCACTGATGGTGCTTTTTTTCCCTGGTTGCAATCCAAGCTTGTAGAGTGCCCAGTATGCAGTATTGCAACTTGTTATGTTATACTTTTTCTTCTCTGGCCAACTTAGAATGTCCACTTAGGTTACAACCAATAGTCTTGGGGCCCTGACAATATCTCCTGTCTTCTGTTCTACTATTTGCCTCAGATTTAATGTGTCTTGTATAAATAGCCTCTTCTGTACTATCATAATTCAACTCAGAACTTATCTTTTCATTACCCTCTTGGCAAGCTATTTAAAATCTGCAACTTTTTTTGGTGAGGTTTCCTAACAGCCTTCTCCATATAGTTATTTTTCCATCCATCCCTGCTTGTGTTTCTCTTTTTTTGTCACCTGCTTATTGAGTGATTCCCAAGGATAGTATATAAATCATTTATTTGTAGAATTTGATTTGGAGTGGAGTCTAGTTTTCACATTATTATTTAATAGTAAATAAATATTAGATATAGCAAATGAAATATAGTACGTATAATAATTAATAACACTTAATTACTAATTCAATAAATTTAATAATTTACACCTTGGATCTACATCTATAATCTACACCTTGGATTGTTCTCAGTCCTTTTCCCTTATCCTTCCTATCAGAGTAAAGCTGTTTCATGGAACTAGTTTATTCTAGTTTTATTCAGCTCCTTAGAAATTTTTTTTTCAATTTGCGATAGCAATAGAATACTGAATGCCTGGGTAGCATATATGGTTTTGCCATGTTTGTAATATGTGTATTGAGCTAATCTTTTTTCAATATATTTGCTAAATCTCCAAAGGAGTATTTCTTCATTCCCTTGTTAAACTGCCAACTTTTTTCCTCCTGAAGAATTCGTAATACTTAGAAGACATCAATACTACTGGACTTCATACTGTAACCACAGGGTATTCTTGCCCTCAGATTTTACCCCTGGGAAATTTGTGCAGTGCCTTGTAGTCTTTAAAATGCACACACGCTTCTTTAATCCAAATTTCACTTCTAAATGGTTTGAACAAATACTATTTTTCTCTGGCATCTCTTCTGTTTAATCTTGGTCTCATTTACCCTCATTCCTTCTTGGTTTATTCATAAAATCATAGAGTAGTTTGGATTGGAAGGGA